AACTCAGTCACAAGTCAGTCACGAGAAAGTCACAAGTCACGAGTACATGTAGGTCACAAGTCCGTCACAAGGCCCTCACAAGTCCGTCACAAGTCAGTCACAAGTCCATCACAAGTCAGTCACAAGTCCATCACAAGTCCGTCACAAGTCCGTCACAAGTCCGTCACAAGTCCGTCACAAGTCCATCACAAGTCAGTCACAAGTCCGTCACAAGTCCGTCACAAGTCCGTCACAAGTCCGTCACAAGTCTGTCACAAGTCAGTCACAAGTCAATCCTAAGTCAGTCACAAGTCAGTCACAAGTCTGTCACAAGTCACTCACAAGTCAGGTCACAAATCGATCACAATTTAAGTCACACATTAAAGGCATGAACAATATGGTAGCAAAGGAGTGCTTTTGTCACAGCTAATTAGAATAGCTTGTGAGTTGACTTGGGACTGGAGGACTTGTGGGGACTAACTGAATCCTTCCCCAAAAGGCATTGTAGGTTTTACACATTTCTAAGAATTTGAGTGAATACACCAAATTCCAATATCGTGCAATTATCCAATTACCTTTTCTTACTCAATACAAATATACGTGCGTTGGTTTAATATCATCAGGCCCATTGTACACATTATGTGCAAGCAACAGTTGCAGACCTACGGTACATGTAGTATAAAATTAAACAAATCTGAACAAGAAGTCCAAAATCAATTCATTTACACTTTTGAAGACATTTCTCTCAAGTACCGGTACAAGACATTTCTTGACTACTCACCTCGGACTCAGTCCCCTGCCTGGTCCCAAGGCCCAAAACAGGGCAAGCAGTTGGGCGAGGATCTGACCCAATAAACTCCAAATCTTGACACAAGTCCTTCTTTTTTCTCCTTACTAGTCTCATGTTGTTCTTCAATATAAATCCCAAGTTCGCGACTTTAAGATCCTTCCGTTAACATTTTCAAATCTGTAAGTTATTCTCTTCAAAATAACAACTACATGTAGGCCTATCGATCTGTACTTCAAAAAATCGTAAATCGTATCTGGTGTCGGATCACAAAAACATGTACCAGTATGGTACGGTACATACTTTAATTATAGCAGTTGCGATAACTTGCTAGGTTGGATTTTAGTAATGGAATGTAAATCTTCCAAGCATGCCTTGATTAAAAACGCTCATCAGTTTAATAGTATGTGTACTTAGTGGGCATGTACCGGTACTGTACAATTAGTCATAAATACACACGTATGTATGTACACTGCTTTAACCACGGAAAAAGGCAATACTTCCAAGTACTTTGGTACATCCTTTGGTATCAAAGTCCACAGGAAACGCTAGTCACCTTTTAACAGAAAGAAAAATGACATCAGTTGGTTGTCATGACATTACTGGTCACTTGGCATTGCGAAAAAAAACCGCCTTCTGTGATACCATGTGACCAGCAGGGAGTGTCACAACCAATCACCAGCCGAAAAAGCTCGTTATCTATTTTCAGAATAATGATGGCGGTAATACCACGCGAGTGAATAACCGGTATACCGGCACTCAGCACTGAACTGGCGACCTAACCAAAAGCCAACACCCAGGCCTTGATGTTTTCGAAGGGCGGTTCTATTGTCCTGAACTCTCTATATGACTATGCAATTAATCGACCGTGGCATATTGTCAAAACCATGTGACCACTACATAAATACACTCCAACCAATTTGAGTGTCACAGTAAGGACCCTCTCAGTGGTTTTGTGTTTGTAGGGCGGGCTTCTGTTTCAAACAAGTAAAAATTAATCTTAATACATGTATGTACCAAACTGTCAACAACTGTGTACACGACACATTTGTTTATGGTGTAAATTGAGGACTTTCTTTTGTTCTTCTTCCCGTTTTCTTTGTTTGTACTTTTTCGGAACAGCTCTCATTGGTTTTGTACACATTTTCTAATGGAGGTCGTCCTCGATTTGGTTCCTGTCCTCGATTCACCGATGATGTTGCAAGTGTGTGTCCTCGATTTATGCCATAAACAAACGCATGTACACACACATGTACTTATACACATGTACATACTGTATGTAAATGTACATGTACATGTAGTTTTTGAGAGGAAAATACCGGTACATGTACATGTACATGTACATACCCTGATATGTGTACATGTTGCAAGGTCTAGCATTTTACATTAAATTCTCAAAACGCTTTACAAAACATCAAAACCGCATAAAAAGTAAACCAGTTAATTAATTTAAAAACTAATAGTTCAAAATAATATCTTTTAAAAAGGAATGTCTTTAGCTTTGACTTTAAAATTCCCAATTAATTAATTAATTCAATTATCCTGGACTATACACAAGTAATTAATTAATTGTTATTATTTACAGGTGAACCTTGTGTACAAGATACGAGTTACACTTACAGGTTGCCCAAACTTTCATGGACTTTTTCTGTTTGTTGATTTTACCATCTGTATTACCGGTAATACCAATGAGCTCATTTAAAAGATCCTGTTTACTACACAATATAATTTTTATTTTTAAATATTTCCTCCCCACACATGTAGGCCCTACAACTTCCAGATTTATTTTCAGAATTTAGCTGGAAAATGGGCGATACATCATACACTGAAAAATAACTACCACAGTTCCAATTTTAGAGCACTGGTAATTTCGCACTTATGACAAACACAATTCTGAAGGTTTTCTGTTTACAGCACGACCACAGGAATTCTTTCTATAGGTGCTCATCCTATTAGCGCAGAATCCTTTGTTAGTGATACATGTACTACATGTATGTAGTTCAGTTGCACTATTAAGCTAAAATTCCTTGCTAACCCACAAAAATGCACTCAGAACTACATGTAGCACAGAATTTTGTGCATGTGTGTATGCTTCACCCTAAACATACCTGATCCATCAAAATCCACACCCCTGTTTCGGCACTAGATTCAGGATACCTCCATATTGAAAAAGTTTGGGGATTTTGATGGATTCAGGACAGTTCGCCTAGCGGTAGTGCAGGATTTTGATGGATTCAGGATACCTCCATATTATTGAGCATTTGGGGGACTTTGATGGATTCAGGATCTCACCAGTTTACAACTCCTTGGCTACATGTATGCTTAGTGTGAATGGGGTATGTACCGGTATACTGGTGGATTCTGATGGATATACTGGTGGATTCTGATGGATATACTGGTGGATTCTGATGGACTCACTGGTGGATTCTGATGGACTCAGGACACCAACATTCATTTTTTGCATGACAAAATTGATGGATTTTGGTGGATTCAGGATACTTTCTAGTAAAAGGGGTTAGGGTTTTTAATGGAAACCACAGCACTGATCGTCCAACCAACGCATTCTAGTCAGTGGCATGGCTTAAACTTGGCAAACATATCAAACTCAAAGTCCACTCAATCCGTGTCGTGTAATTAATCAGAAGGTGTGGCTGCCCATCAACGTCATGGAAAAAGCATAGCGACGGCCTTGACGACACTGTTTACAATTGCTATTATGAGGCTACTTATTAATGGTTGTGGAACTGATAAAAACAAAAACTGTATGAATACGTCGGCCAGCACATGATCATGTGCTATAGTTTATGGCTTTCCCGTGTTATGTTTATCTTTCAATTTCAATGTATTATGCATGTACCATATATACATACATTGTAGTGCACAAACTACCGGGTACACTACGCATGTGCAGTGTGTGCCTACTGAACATGAAGGCATGATGTACATACATGATGTACATTTGCATGTATCCAGTATGTACCGGTACATTGTAAAATGTTCACGTGTACTAAAATGTGAAGGTGTACGTGTACGTGCAGTAGGCGTCGAGAATAAAAACGTCTGAAGGCCAAAAGTTTACAAAATTTAATGAATAGGGCACAGGTACATGTACATATGAATACACTTATAATTCACAGATGTGCAGTGACGTCTGTGTGTACAGTATGTATAATGTACCTGGTACATGTACCGTATCAGGTACATGATGTACATCATGTACTATTCATTCATCATGTTCATGATTACATTTTCCAGTATATTGGAAATCACTTCCTAAGACCATGGAGGAAAGAAAACAGATACACCAGTACATTTTAGAAAATGGTTTCATGGGAGGATTTCTAAAGCACACTGGTACAAAAGCATTACGTTTAACTTACATTGAACATGTTCTGGTACACACAACACATTTTGTATCTGATTCCTGAGTTTTATAGCTAGCACACATGTGTATTTAAATGGTTTTATTTATTTATTTATTTAAAACCATCTTTAACCCTAACACTGCTGAATCCAACAGGATCCTATAAACCCATTGGAGCCTGTTGGATTGAGCAGTAAAACCACATGTACATGTACATATTTAGAGTCGGATTCTGTTGGGTACTGATAAATTACTCCTAGAACTATGAGGCTCCATGTAGTGGAGCCTCATAGATTTAGAACCCCGCAAAATTGTTTTTAGCACAAAACACTAATTAAGTACAAAAACGTCCATCAAAATGCAGAAATTTCCCACAGAACCGCTGCACAGTTTGCCCCCAAACTCCGTACTACACCTCATGACATACTCACAAAATATGTGCAGAACAAACATCGCTGGATTTTGTCGGGTTTTTGGCTAAAATGATGAAAAATTTGCCCTTTCCGCACTGAGCCAACCTGACACTTGAAGCGTGCGTGCATATGATCGAGCGATGATTTTCGGTTCGCTCGGAGCGCGCCGTGGGGGGTACAGTACAAGCGAAATGATAGTATGCGCATGCGTACAAGTGTTTGTACACAGTTGGATTCTGTTGGATTGAGCAGGAAGTAACCATTGGACGGATTTAGCAGGGTAGTCATATATACACGTATGAGGGAGGGTAATTATAACCCATCCAGCAGGAGCTGATCATTTGAGGCTCTCACATTATAAATACATCAAGACAAATGTTCTGTTTGCAAAAAGTCAATAAAAATAAATTCATGGTGGTTAAGTACTTCAGTCCATGGAAACGAACATACAAATTACCTGAATTTTACTGGGCCTGGCGGGTCGGACCACAGCAGGGTTTTTCGAAGGTTTTCCCATAGCGACCCCAGACTGACCAAAATGGTCGCTCACTTGTCAAGAAATCCAACAATAAGGTCAAGCTCTGCAGTTCTCACATTGTTAGCAATTCCTGAGGAACGTCGGCGATGTCAGAATCGGTGAATACAATGGTGGAAAAGCAGACGCGAGCAGAACACAAAGACCTACCGGTAAATGTTCATAAAATATCCCGGCGTGTATGCAAATTTACGCCGAGTCAACATTTCCATGGCTGGTGCACACTACGGTAAAATTTATACACACATGTACTCTAAAGTCACATTTTTTTTTATCAGTGGTCACTGAACGGCTTTAGCATCCTCATGTTGATAATACAGGGTCCAGGCACAAACACTGCCAGAATACAGACCGTATTGTAGAGCTGTAATCGCACAGATAAAGCAAAAGATTAGACATCAATGGAGGAGCATCCTGGAGCAACCGGCATACCACACATCACCAGATCTGCTTATCAACGCTGTGGCATCATGACAAAATGCACTCCCAAATCGTACAATATGCAGAACTCACATTGCCGGCCGATGCATACATACAAGCAGTATTGGTTCACCGGACGCGGTACGTACGTGTTCGTGTGTACACCTACATGTAAATCTGCACCGAGTATGCGGAGTATGTAGATTTCCACCACAGAGAACGCAAAGTGCAACCCGTCAGGCCAAAATTGCATGGACCGCAACAATGGGTTGAATGAACACAAAGAATACGGCCAGGGTCAGAGCAGTGTGTATACATGTACATGTACTGTACTCTGTAAATGTAATCGCTCACTCCCATGGTGTGTTTATTGTGCAACAGGGTTGGCCCTGTTAGTGTTAGCCTACACAGAATGCTTACATTACAACTGGAGTTACACAGAAAATATACACAATGTATATCAAATGAACATGTAAACATTCTGTATTCACGTCTTTACGTAAATAATGGCACAGTATACCCTAACAGTCCTGAATCCTCCAATTTTAATACGATGTTGCACACCCCCTAGGGAGTTAGGGTTCCGTTTTAATGCCTGTTCAGTTGTATCGTACAATAATAGTCTTGTCCTACTATAATTATGGTGACATACATGTACTAGTATTTATAACTCTCATGTAAAGCAGAAAAAAAAGAGCGAAAACAAATTTATGTGGTCCATGGATTTTCAACAGAGGTCTGTTCATGTACATGTACATATGCTACATATGCTGTTCTGAACAATCACATTTTGTGCAGTGTGCACAACAGAGCTGCATGGAAGCTGCCAATGTTTGTATTTGTGACTATGATAATCAGTGAACGAGGGGGGGGGGGGTTATGCATTACCTGAGGAGGGTGGAGTACATCCAACAAACAGCACTTCCCTTTGTCATGTTTGTTGTAAAGGCTTTACATTTAAATACAGACAGTTGAAAAAAAGATCGGTGGCTGCGCTGTGTCAATAATTCTAGTGGTTTGAGAGAAATTGTAGTGCTCAATGTTTTGGTAACTGCATACACGTCGTAAAGTGTCACATATGCTCCCTGTAAATCCATGTTAAAGGGATTGATACAACATTTGCAAACATCAAAAAACACAACCACCAAATTATTATGAAATGTACCTTACTGGACTGCAAGCGAATGACAGTCTAAAGCATCCTGTAAAATCATGGCACCTGGTGTGTTGTCATTTTCAAGAAAAGTGGTATTTTTGTATCAATTTCCAATGGGAAAAAAAAAATGGCTTTTTCATTTTAAATACTTCCCCCAATTTACCATATTTACCCTAGTTAGTCCGTATTTTGTTTACAATCGATTACACACCTACAACACCATGTATGGACAAGTACAAGCAAGCTAGATGTGTTCCCTAACCTTACAATTCCGTTTCATGGGGTCACCAAACTACAAGAACATGATTGTTTTTCTTGGTTTTTCCAGCATCTACAAACACAAAACTTCAAACAAGTCAGTGTACAATATTTGCTATAAAATACTAACCCCCAAATCCATCCATTTTTTGAAAATTACAGTAAAAAGCAATGTTGTATATATTTTCCCTTTAACCGTTGTTGACTTGTTCGTAAATAAATATGTATTTTTACAATATGAATGACTGTGGCTGTTGTTTTTTCTCCAATGCATAGCAGTAGTGCACCTAGCAGGTGATCCATGATTTGTTCCATCCTCCATGATTTGACTGTCAGTTGTAAACCACATGAGGGCGCTCTTCATTGGAAATGGCACTTGTGAATATTTCTAGGCTCTGGCATCAGAGCTTCTATAAGTCACTCGGGTGTCGGTTGGTTGGTTGGTCCCTCCCAAAAGTTGACCAAAAACAAACCCCCTAACTCACCCGTAAAATTTTACCAAATTGTAACTGTCCAGAAAAAGCAAACAAAATACATTAAATACTTGACAAAAATTGTTTGTAACAATTTGTGACATTGTTTATGAAATTTTTTGAATTGAGGCAAGATAATGTGTGGTTATGTTATAGTCACGTGGTATTTTTGAGCGCTACAAACTTAGGAAGTTAGGGGGCTTCTACACACCTGTCACTATGCATCACCCCTGCATCTGGCCCTGTGTCATTTGTACAGAGTCTCCAGGGCATAGGAGTGAGGATACAGTTGCATTATGAAGGTCACTATCATTTTGCATTGTGACTTTCAACAAAATGGGAAATTCTTCTTTCAATTGACAATCACGACCAAGTGAGTAACTGTATCATTTCATGCAAGAAGGCCAGAGCTTAAAAAAAATAATACTTCTGCTTCTGATTACATGCCTTTCAAAAATAGGGTCGGTCAGTCGGAATTTATTTTTTTTGGCCAATTTTTTTTTATGCTGATTGAATGGGGTATTCAAATATATGCGAAGTTTTAGCCTGAACTATTTCCACTGCACTACGAAAGCTTTACAAAAAATTGCCACAAAAAGTGAATAAAACCTACATGTACCTTAATTACTGTCAATATATTACGTTTGATAATTCTTAAAAAATAATGGAAAATTCAGGTCATGCGCACCATACAATGTATACACAACGTTAGTCAAGACGGGAAACTGGCCAAAACTCTGTGATGCGTGAATGCATGTGTGGCCAGCGGGCGACAGACCTCGTTTTTACGGTGTACAATTTCGGGGAAACACGCTGCATCGTATCACTCCAAATATGAGTAGTGCCATCTCAAAATGAGCTCTTGAACAAGGAAAATGCATACACAGACAAGAGAGATCAAGTTCTGTGAAATAACTTGCAAAAATGTTCTTTCTCCATCGGTGTTTTCTTGGCATTTTACAATGTCGAATCCGACTCGACTGACCAGTTGACAGTGCACCGCGTGGGGCTGCCATGCATAGCCAATGCTAGCACTATGCGCATACATACATGTAGCTATGCACAGACTGGTTACCGCATTTTCATCATGTCTTCTAAATTGGCCCCTGCGCGGCGCGGCGGGGAACCAGTCGTCGCTGCATTGAGCTACAATGTAGCATTACCGCGACAGTTAGCGAAGTAGTTATCGCGAAACGAATTTGTAAAACAACAGAGGTTTCTTTTGAAAGAAATGTTGAATGTAAGTAAGAAAACAAATAAATACAAGCATTTTTGACGCGAAAGGGTTGTTGAGAGCTATTTTGTGTAGACAGAAAAGACAATAAGATTTTGTTTTATTTACATGTATTCAAAATTTCAATCATGAATTTTTTATTTTTTTTTGAAATTGCCGATAAAATTTTTAGGGTCGAGGCCTAAAAATAGGGTCGGTCGGGTAACCGGAAGCAGAAGTATTTTTGGGGGCCTTATTGTGCAGTCGCACTTGTTATTATCCAAGTTCATTCTCTGTCAGTGTCATGTACATGAAATGCACATGTATACACTGTACCGGTACCGGGTACATCAAAATTTATTACCTAAATACATCACGGATTGCATAAACATTTGGAGCTGTACATGTACATGTAGGCCAACATGTGTTTATTTTAATAACACAAACATTTAGAAAGAGAAACTGTTGAACTAATGTACACATAGGACCTTGTTCGCTCTGTACAGCACAGAAAAACCTTTTCTGAAAAATAGTTTTGCAAATAAAGATTTTTTTTTTGGCAACCACTGCAATTCAATTATTACAAAGGTTGTTGAGTGTTGAACACTCTAAACGTGTAATTGAATGAGGTCCTCACAAAAAAAACCTCGTTTAAACTTTTACTACATGTGTAGATGTGCATGCTTGCATATCATTCTTATTATATTCAGGAAATACGACCACAATCACTGTATATATTGGGATGTGGTGTGATTTCACAATGTAGTACATGACAAGCAGTCAACCAATGGCAAAGTAGGAATCATTGTACACTCTGTGTGAACAGTATTAATACATTGTAGTACATGTACATGCAGTTCTAAAATGTATACAGCATAATTTAAAGGTATAGTCCATCATTTGTAATTTGTGCTTTTCGTTCGTTTGAAGCAACAAAAGTGCTCAAAATCTAAAGAAGGGTACTGAACAGCTAACCTGATGAAGTTTCATCTCAGCTTCAAATGTAAATTCCGAGAAAAACAGCATTCTAGGATCTCAATTTCAAATCAAAAGTTGCTGAATCATGTTTTGAATTGGGCCTGAATTCAGCGTCCGATTCTCACCGAGCCGAATGCAGCTACGCGATGTCGCGCACTGATCCGACAACTTATAGCAACCGCGCGCGCGTGCGCAATGTGCCAATGCTTTGCGCCGAATAACAAAAACGAACTACTAAGTTAAATTTCCTACGGTGCGTCTTAAGAAGCACCGTTGGAAAGGCCTTCTTTTGTTGATTTCTTCAAAATGACAGCTTGCCAGAGAGAATAATTCACGGGGAGTTTTAGTCCCCTTACTATCTTTCAACCTAGTATGTTTTTCATCATTAATTACGTCAGTTACTTTTTGGAAAGCTGCAAATGATGGACTCTGGCTTTAACTGAGAAGCAAAGAAGGAACAATGTAATACATTAGTTTCTGACATGTACTTGTTTTATTTACATTGTACACCACATGTAAATGAAATAGTGTTCTGCCTGTGGTATTTATGAAGGCTTGTCATGTTTTGATTTTAGGTGGGGTATGTTCTTGGAACAATACATGCGTTTGATTTGATAATATTTAACAATCCATTTTTACTTTCCATCATCAGTAGTCTCCACCTCAAGTCTCACTTTGCACTTGCTCATTGATTTTATTTGAAATTTTCTACAAATACAGCAAGTAGTTTCACATCTGGCTTTTTTTGGAAAAATTAAAAATGCAGACCTTTTTTCCCCCTCTTTTCCGTGGTCCCCCAAATGACGGATTTTGCAAGATGGCAGATGGATTTTTCATTTTTCTCGACTATTTTGCTGATACAAAATTGTGTCCAAAAGCCAAAGGAGCCATTATTACCCTTTTTTATAGCTACAATTTTTTTGGAAACAAATAAAAAGACAATATTGAGAATATATGTGCAAAAATATTGCAAATGCATATTTAAAAAAGAAAAAAGAAAAAAAAGAGGCGGCTGGGAAAAATGGAAGCGGGTGGGGACGACACGACAAACTGCTAAATTTTTTTTCTTGGCCAGCACAGTGTACAAAATTTACTATAATTTGCATGGTTGTTTTGGCATCTTCAATAACGTAATAAAAGGAAAATATGTTGCAACCTGGTTGATTTGCAATACATAACATTTTCTACCAAAAGATACTGTTCAAAAATACTCCCCCCCCCCAAAAAAAAAAGACACCTAAAACCTGTTTAAGGCAAAGATTGCAGTTCTTTGGAATGATAAGAACACTCTAATTTTGGTAATCATGCACATGTAGTTTAGGATCCTGTTTCATAGTTCTATAAGAAAACGAAGACACTTTCATGTTTTGAAACTCCTAAACATTTGGCTATGAAATCTACAAGCATGACAAGCAGGAAAAGTCACTTTATGTGTGTGGAAGGATCTAAATAGTTTGCTAAAATAGCATGTTGAATATTATCAGCTAGCATTAATGTAGAAAAAGGGCAGGGTTTTGATTTACAAACGGAACTTGTAAAAATAAGAGGTGTCCTAATAACTGACTACATGATTATCTATGTAGAATTTTTGTCTTTGAAGGCATTTGGCCTACATGTTAATTTGTTGTCATTACACGTAAATTACGGAGCCACGCAACTGCCAATCACTGACATGACTGAGTCACATACACATCTTGTCATTGCATGCATTGAAAGTGGCACTGATGAGTGCTGTTTTGTGGCTTGTGTTCTTATTTTTTCTTAATTCACAAATTGAACAATATGTTTATGTTTTTACTTACCCTTCCAAGGGACGAATTCATGTTCCCGTTCTGTTTTCCACGCTGCATGATTCTGCTACCTGCAGTCTCTCTTCATGGTCAATTCATTTATATTCCGATCAAATTCCAGTCGCCTTCTTTTTTTCTCCCGTTTTAGATAAAACACAAAGACCAAATCCACAAGCACTTCGACGTTCGGCCGTTTATTGCGTGCGTATCAAGCCGTATCAATGCCGGGATATGCAAACGTCACAGTTGATGGACAACTGTCACCCGACGAATTTCGTCTGCAGAAACCTTCAACTTCCCCTTCTTTTGGAAGAAATCAAACGCCAGGGCAAGCCTTACATAAACTTCTGGACATGGGCGAGGTTTTAAGAGCTGACAGCGGCAGGATTCCGTCTGAAATTCGGGTGGTCTGCGACAAGATTTGGCGGCGGTGACGGTTCTTCCGCGTTCCGTCGTTCGGTCGCCATGCCTGAAAACACCGACAACCTCGTACCCACTCCTGGCTTCGGTGACTGCGTGATAAAGCCATTGGTGGTGCCTAACCCTCTACCCAGAGTGACTTTTGGGGATAGGCGTACACATTTTGTGGGCAAAATTTGAAGGGGGCGGAGGCTAGCGGTGTCAATTTTGGAGGCATTATTATAAACGGGATTTAAAATAAAAAGAAAAGAACTAGGCCTTGAGCTGTTCATTTGTAGACGATGAAACTGCTTTACGAAACACAAATTCAGTACTTTTACTACAGTAACTGCAATGCAAGTTGAGGATATAACATCAGAAAAATAACCAACATGATGATCGACCCACGTACCTCATCATCAAGGTCATGATCGCACTCTTAACTTTAAAATAGTTTTCATCGTTGTCAGTTTTGTCGTCATCACCACCAAACTGCGTCATATTAGCCTTATAGGGCTATTGAAACCCAAAATCTTGAATATTCTTGCAATTTTACGAAATTCAGAGTCACTTTTCTGAGGGTTGCATGATGATGTGTCTAAAGTACAAAACGGTCCGTATTTCAAGTTGTCAATGTGAAGTGTATTATCATGGGTGCCAGCGGGGGTAGATATCCTTGTTAAAACTTGGTTAAGTTGAATGAACAAATTGTCACAATCAAAATTCCCCTCGTATATCAAGCTTTGTAAACCTGGTGGATTAGGGACACTTGCACTTCACCCGGGCCAAAAGAGGGGGGTCTACCCGATGTTCCCCAATACCAATGTTCCCCGAAATCCTAAGGATTGGGGGTTAGGGTCACAGTAAGGATTTCGTGGAACATAGGTATGCACCCCAAAAGAGGAAGACCTAGACAGTAACAATTTACAGGCAAGCGATATATTTTTATTTCCTTGGTATAATAATTTCGTAACACACACATGTAGTTGGTAACGTGTACGGTGGGACTTTTATCAAAAACATATTAAATATTAAAATTATCTGGCTAACATGCAGTTAGTGAAACTACTATATTCCAAACTATTAGTCTTCATTATTTACTTAGCACAACAATCGATTTACCAAAAATATATTTTTTTATAGATGGTTAGTATAGGAATAGCTTTCTGGTTTATATTTACACTTTATAAATAAAATTTAACTGAAGTGTCATTTTCAGTTCAGCTGAAATTTCAAAGCCTTTGGATTTGAATAAACTTTAAATTAATGCGGTCGATCTGTACGAAACTCACACAATTTAATCTTTTTTACCAAAAATAACTTATGTAAATCAACATTAATTAGTTATACTAAGTATCTACGTTTCTGGATCAGTGATTACACAAGAATCACCAATGGAAGAAATATTTCCAAACGTTGATGCTTACAAGACATATAAAACTTGAGAATTTTTGTTAAAAGGGTATGGTTTCGTTGATTTAACCACTTTCATGGCCATTCATTCCAAAAACTGTTCAATAGTTCAAATCACTAGGTTTGGTTGTTTTGTACCCGGCTATTAAATAAAAATTAAACTTGTTTGGCATTACTTTTAATGCCATTTTCCAATAATTGACCAATTTAGAGAGAATACATTGGCAATATTTGTTTCAATTATTAAAAATACAAATAAAATATAACTTGTTTGGTCCAACACCTTCTTTGTCATTTTCAAATAATTGAGAATATATTGGCAATATTTTCATTTTTTTTTCAAACTTTGTCAAACTAGAAAACAAAACCAATCAAAGCTAACTTAACATACCAAAAAACATTGCAACAAATAAAGAGACCAGCAAACAAAAGAACATGGCAACATTAACAATAGGCGGAAACAATAACATACAAAAAACCTAGACTTTTTGAGAGAACTATCTGGTTTGTACGTTCTTCCGACTTTGCCGGATTCCATTACTGATGGAACTGGTGAAAGGTGTTGAAACACACATCAAAGCCTTACAACAAAAAACGTGAAAAAAGCTAATACATTATATAGGTTAAGGCGAGTACATTTACAATTCTTCAAAAGGTTAAAGGGCCATGAAAATGAAGTGTAATTGTTTTTAAATTAATGCACCTTTGTGTCCCATTTAACCCTATTTTCAATTTTTATTTTGCCATTTTCAAGGGCAGTTTGGTGCCGTTTTGCTTTTTATGCTAATGTGAATTTCCATACTTAGTCAGCAAAAGCGTGATGTCATATCAGGCAGAAACCTGTTACAGCTATTTCAGCACCAAAAGTTGCTAGAGAATTTGGGATATTTCAGTGTCATAAATTTTCTTTTCTCTGATGATTCATTGTTGTGTCAGTACGTGGCAGTAAGCCAATGAGCAAATTTTCCTCACAAATATTTTAAATCAGAACATTTTTGGGTACAAAATTTGACCAGAAAACCCCTAAACTGAACAGTGTCTTCCTGAAATGACATCACAGCAACAGCGCCCTCAGTTGTCTGGAAAAGCATGGAATTTTTTTTAATGTTTAAAGAATTGCACTTTTCAATACAATTAACCAAAAAGGGATGTCGAATATTTTCTATACATTTAAGACTTTCTTGGAAAGTTAAACAAAATATGTTCCTGAGAAAAATTCACTTCGTGGACCCTCTAAAAACGAAAATTCACAATGTGTGATTAATACATGTGCCATCATTTCTTGTTTAATAACATAAACTACAACTAGAAACACACTATGTGTGTGTGCAATATGCACACAAATTCAAAAGAAAACCAATTGAACAATAGTAAAGTTAGTCTCAGACATTAATACTATGACATTTCTGTTAACAAAAGGTCGCTGGTTAAAATCCTACTCATCTAAACCTCGATGAGATTGTTTGTATGTATCTCTCATCATACCTGAGAAGAAATAAATGTAAGTTCAAAACTCTCTTTCACAATTGTGCCAGAACAAATATAAAACAAAATACAAATACGCTGTGGGCTTTTTGCTGCCAATATGTGTACATCAAACCCTGGACATTCTTCAATGTCATTTTTAAAGTCTATACTGTGTGTTCAAACTAAAGCGGAACCCAAACCCCAAAAAATATATTTCATATTTAAAAATATACGTAGCACCAAAAATAATAATGACTGGAAAGCCAATTTCATGAACTACTTTAGATGATAAAATAACTGAAATTGCTCAATCCGTTCAAAGAATATCACCATTTAAATGCAATGACCCTAAAACCTGTTTCGTCCAAAAAAGCAGTTTATCGTGTGTTCTGACTGTTTGGAACAACAAAGAAAATGACACAGAATACTTGTTTCAACAACTGTCAACAACTGAAGTGCACGCTATCTTTATTAACAACCCTGCTTAGGCAAACAATATGACTTACAAAATCAACATTTTAAAGACGGGCCTTCAAAAGGACTTTGTTGAATATTTTTAACTTTCAAACTGATGTTTTATCACTGGTGATGTTTGAAGACAATTGTGACGACGATTCTTGTAATCGCATTTTTGGACGAAAGAGGTTTTAGGGTCATTGCATTTAAATGGTGATATACTTTGAACAGATTGAGAAATTTCAGTTATTTTTGCATCTAAAAGTAGTTTAAGAAATTGGCTTTCCAGTCATTATTATTTTTGGTGCTACATATATTTTAAAACATGAAATATATATTTTGGGGGGTTTGGGTTCCGCTTTTTTTTTTTACTCACTCTGTAAGAAAAACGACTGTATCATTTAGAAAATGTGCATAAAGAAGGTGAAACAGGAACCGTCTTTACCACCCTGTACTTAAGTAGTGTGCCAACTCCATGCTAGCTAAATTGCATCGAGTGACTGAACACTACCTATACGTAAGGCACCTGCAGCTAGTTCTTCTTCCAAAGCATCGTTTGTTTCACTGTCGTGACGACGTCTGTCCTCCAGCCTCTTCAGATAGGGCATCAGCAGGAGAAGAGAGGAGCTCAGAACCAAGATGCTGCCGGTGATGTAGAAGGCTAGGTCGTAATTCTCCCGGATGTCATACAGCCAACCTACGATACAAAGAATCAGACCGTTGTTAGCTGCTGCCGTTGCCAACTGCTACATGTATTGTACATTGGCCCAAACGGCCTTAATTGCAAGCCCAAAGTTTCCATTATGTCCTTTAACCCTAACCGCCCCAATGCTACAAAATACTACCGAGGAGTAACCTGTAGTATGCATTTCTTTCCATACAAGTGTGCATATGAGCTGACAGTGTTCTCCAACTTTGAAAATTAAAGGTCGGTGCACCCGCAACAAGCGGGGGGGGGGGGGGGGGGGGGGGGGGGGGGGGGGGCTATAATTATGTTAGGGGCGCTATTTGCAGTCATACATTTCTTTATGCTAGGGGGTGCTATTTGCAGATGAACATGCAATTTATGTACGGATAACAGCTTTTAGGCCATTTCTAACACAGTAACTGTTAAGTACAATACTGGCTCAGCATCATCTTTTTTAACATATCAGTGACCAGGGACTCTGAGGCAGTTTGGCCTTGAGACTTTTGATCTGATGGATTGCTACAATGGGCAGGCTTGTCAGTTTGACAAGTGTTGCATGTTATTACTTTCGGCAGAGTTTCTGGCCAATTATACCCTGGAGGGAAAGGGTAGTCCCACTTGTTTGTCTTTTTTATTATTTTTTCCTTTTTTTTTTTTAAGCATGGTGGCAACTTTTGAAGCTTGGCGGGTGCCTCAGACAGCTTGGCGGGTCACCAGGTTATATTTACAGGAGAACACCGGTAGTATTCTGTGGTATTTGGGGGTTAGGGTTAAAGGATTAAAAAACAATCACAAACAGACTGTGCCTCTAAAACTTGAACTAGAAAAACAAAGTGGCAAACTGTGACTGTGGTGAATGTTTTGGACAAAGACTCACCGTATCGAGTCTGCATTTTTAAACTGGACTCCACAATCCTTCTTCCCAAAAACATGCAAGAAAATATAGAGTCCAAATAATGATGAGTCCTTATTTATAGGTTCGTTTTATACAACAAAACTGTAAATCACTCCATCCTTACCTGCAAGAGTTGGTCCAGTTACAATGCCGATACCTATAAAAGGCATGAAAATCCCCAGTGCAAGCGGCATAAGATCTGCCCCAACAAACTCTCTGATCAAGACGGCTGAGAGGGACTTGTAGGTTCCAGACATAAAGCCAAAGACAAGAGCAAAGACGAGGTACCCTGCGAAGGTTTGGAGGGATGGACAGACGACCATGGCCACACCACACGTCAGAACAGCAAAGAAGTATATCTTGAGTGAGCCTACGACTTTGCAGTCAATCAACTGGCCGAGAGCCAGACGGCCGAACAGGCTTCCAACACCGCTGATGGACATCAGTACGGCAGCATCCAGTTTGGATATCCCAGCTTCGATTGTCATGGGGACAAAGTGGATTGTGACAGAAGAGAAGGCAATATTCTGCACTGCCTGCAAAAGGCAGAGGAAGCTGAAGCGGAACCTCGTCTTGAGGAGAAACAGCCCACTACCTCGGGCAATGTGCCCCAGATAAATGGACGCCATGGTTGGCCTACGCTGTTCCATCCTGGCACTGAGGTTGACAGACACTCCATTTAATTGAGCCCCTGACACGGATACTTCTGATAATCTTGGTAGTTCTCCTTCCTGTACATCGGAACTGCAACCATAGCTCTCAGAGAGGCTCCTTTGTAGCTGCCCGTCTGAAACGCCCTTGAGGTTTACAGCACCTTCAGTCTCAGCAATGTAATCAGGGCATATGGAGACCTTCTTCTGCGGTTTTCCCTCTGAGAAACCATTATTGGTTTTGACCACCCCTTCTGACCCAGACTCTGTTCCAGAGCTTGTTGCCACCTTCCTGTGAGGTTTCCCATCTGGATTTTCCTTGACCTTAAGATCAGTCTTTTCCGACCCTCCAGGCTGGCCATCGGAAGTTGATGAGATCTTCCTGTAAACATTTCCACGAGAACCTCTTAGGCCTCCGTTGAGCACTTCATCTTGCAATGACAACGCTCCAGTTTCTTTGCAGAGCCGAGGTCTTTCTTCATCTGACAACTCCCTGCCACTCGGTCCCAAAGGTCGGAACAGCATACCACAGACGCACATGTTGGCTGATGCGGCTGCAAGGATAAACATAGCTCCGTCCCAGCTGTACAGATCAATGAGAAAGCGAGCCAGCAATGGTAGAACGACAATGGTCAAGCCGGAACCACTGTTGCTGATGCTGTGGGCTGTAGCGTATCGCTTCTTGAAGTACTTAGTGATAATGGTTACGGCGCTGACGAAGACAAAACCGCAGCCAACCCCTGTGGAAAGATAAATACACGTTTACACATGACATCAGTGAAACTTGCTCCTCATCCGAGCCCAATTTAATGGAGCTCCTAAGACGAAAACATTTCTCAGAAAATGTATGTACTAAGCAAATCTGAGGCCCGTTCTAGACAATGCTTCTGCATTTGGCACAGCAACAGTATGGCGTTGGAACCAGTAGTCTCGGCAAATTGAGTTTGGCAACCGCAAGGCACCATCCTTTGGCTCGACAGGGCTACCCTGCTATCGTCGTTACGAATGGCAGTGGCACGGCACTGTTCTAAACGCCGTGCCATTGCCGTGCCGAACTCAATTCAATTCGAAGTTGGGGCAAACATTTTAGGAATGCCTCTCTTGCATTCGCATCACAGGGAGTGAAATTGGCACGAAAATTTTGATCGCGCTGAAATTCCTTGAACTGCTTGAACTGCTTCAACCTGGCACATTACTCCAGACGCATTAAGGTTGGACCGTTAAGTTCGCCGTTCAGAGCAGCTGCCATGCTGTAGATGAGCTATTGCCGCACTCATTTCAATGAAATTCGGCATGGCGGTAGCACGGCATCTAGAATAGGCCTTAGCTGAGAACCAGATTCATCAAGTCAATGGTAACATACACCACACGTTTTGGCTGGTAGTCTGTCTTGGCAAGTAATTTTTGTGCTCGGTAAATTTCTGAGCTTTAGCTTTATGAAATTTGACATGGGATATGGACATGATAAGGTACTGACATTGCACTTTGTAGAATCACAAAACACTGAAGCTGTGGTGAATTTTATAAGAAATTATCAAGGCCTGGGCTGCTGATTAAAAACATATTATACACGATAACATGTTATACAAATGATTTAAAACATGTAGAATATGTGAAAAGCTCTAATAGAATCATGGCAATTGGGAACAGTAATGCTGTACTCAAATCCATCACAAGTCTATCACAAGTTCAGTCACAGGTACATGAAAAGTTACTTCACAGGTCGTCAAAGGCAACAGGGGCTGAACAAAGATGTACCCCTTGGACACAGTCCATTTAAATACCTTTTGACTTCACTTAGGACGGGACAGGCCCGTACTCTGGGGGGGGGGGGGAGTTCGAGGGGTAACGGTTAGGGTTAGGATTAGTAACACCCCCCATCCCCCTGTTCGAACCCCCCCCCCCCCAACTCGGTGATGAGTTCCATTCAGAAATTTAAAAAAAATGATAAACATTTGCTCAAGTCAGGGGACAGGCATGCAACTGGGAAGTTGTACAAAAAAAGAGGAAATTCAAATATTTCCAAGACTTTGTACAGTGTTTTTCTATTTTCAATGGCACACACATGTGAAGTACAAAAAGAGGAAATCAGCTGATCCGAGGAAAAGTTGCATGCCTGAGGGGAAAGTGGCCAGGAAATGCCTCAGATTGCACAACGGAGCATCTAGAATCAAATAATTTTGGGGGCCCACTACGCCGTAAAGGCTTAATGCTTGCATTTAAAGTTCCACTTTGGGTTTGATGAATCCCCACCCCCCCAAAAAAATCGGATCAGGCCTCCAGGATGACTTGTTAAAGACTTGTGATGGATTTAACAATGCTGAGTAATTAGGCTTATCAACTTCAAAAGCAAAACACAGTTACCTCCCAAAACACCAAAGCTCAAGATGATGTGCAACAGGGTTTTAGCGTAAGACGTGACAAGGAAACTGGTGAATGTCATCATACCGCCCAAGATAGCTAGTTTCCGTGAGCCAATTCGATTGCAGAGATATCCCGCCAGAGGCCCTGTAAGTAGAACATTCAAATGCATGTAATTATCATAACCCTAACCGTGATAAATTCAACAAGATTCTGCATGATTCAAATGAACCCTTTAGGGTTGGGGGTATAAATACTCTATAGTTATAATTAATCCTACTGAGATGCTCTTAGTATAGTGAAAGGTGTGACATTTTTCTTAAATAAATAAACAGCCCAGAACATCTAAATCCAAACAACTTTCTGCTATGATTGATCTTGCTTGATTTATCTTGCTTTTTAGCATGTTCTTCTTGATCAATTCCGAAAAAAAAACCAAAACCAGATGTATATTTGGAAAGAATGTTGCAACCTGACGCTACTTCAGCGGTTGTGTACAAAGTCTATGGAGAGTCAAGAAAATTTTCAAAGTATTTCCTAACAAAATTGGAAATGTTTCTCAATCCCAGATTCATGTCTTATCATCATTTTTTACAATGACTAACCTTCGTTTAGATGATACATGAAGAAAAAAGCAGCGTTGGGGTGCAACATTCTTTCCGTATATTTTGTACACAGGTCTAATAATCCAACCAGAAATATTTGCTGTGATGGAACGTTTTGGATAAGCAGTGACTTAGTACAACACTTAGGGCCCGTGACCATTTAGCCCCGGTATGAAAAGGGCCCCCCGGTTAGCTCGTCCCCTCCCAAGAAGTCCTTTCCTACCGTCCCAGCTCCTGGGGTCTATTGTTTGCAAGTATTGACACATGTAATATATCCCTGAAGAAACCTGCTTGTGGTTTTCATCTCTCAGTGCGAAACAATAGAACACTTTTGTCGGCACAGATCAAAACCCCTGCCATGCAGTTTCACGCACAATGGGACCGTAAATTACCAAGGCATTATGGAAGGATTTTATCTTTAATCCGGTAAGTCTGCTATTGTTCTGCTCTGGATGTTCTCTGAAGGGCAATAAATTGATGCGCCTGACTGACTTCAAAAGTTCTGGTCAGACAGGACCATGTACCGGATGAGACTGGGCTGAAGACCGGATTGGCTTTGGACCGGACGGGGTACCAGGGGGCCCTTTTCATACCAGGGCTGAATGGTCACGGTCCCTTACAAAACTTTAAAAGTTTGCAGTTATAAAAATTTGACAAACCCATGAATAGAAATGCGGCCAGATGGACACTGCCCACGACTCCGACCGCCGTGGCCGAAGCGTCGAAGAACTGTCTCCACTCGTTGAAGAAGACCCCGATGCAGCGGATGAACAGAGCAAAATGCAAGCTGACACTGCTGCCAACGACAACCACCCAGCCCCATCCACCATCGGGAGGAACCGGTGAATTGTGTTTTACTGCCATCTTTGTCGGGCATACAGTTGATCACTGATTGTTACTGGCAGTTGATTCCTGCTTCTTATGGGGGGAAAAAGTTCATTTTATTATTTATTTATAAAAAAAGTTCATTTTATTAGACTGCGCGTGTAAATTGCAATCATTTAAAAAAAGTATGCAGGAATAGCACCCAATATTGGCGACTTAGATTGCAACTCAGTTCTAATCAAATTTACTAGTCTCAAGGAATATAAGCATTGTCTATATGAAAACTAAAACATAGGACTACTTTACTTGTTTTAATCTTCATGTTTTCAACCAAATTTGGGGAGAAAAATGTGACAGTGTTGCAAGTGATAACGTCAAGTTATACAACACAGAAAGATTCCCTTATCTGGCCATCGCTATTTGTTCCCTTCAGTGACCTATCAGCCATCAGAAAGTGATAATACTAAGGCCTACGTCCTAAAACAAGACCAAATTTAGCAGGGAAAATATTGAAATATTTACTGAGAAAACACTTAAAAATTTTCAGACCAGTGTAAGTGATGGGCAGATATGGGAATCTTTCCTAGAACACCGGCAAAGCAACATTCCCGCCGAAATTGGAGAAAACCAACTGAAGATAGCCCCACACGTGCACTGTCATCCAGAGAATATAAATGGCAGGCCGAGGTTTAAATGTACAATGCCATGAAGAGATGAACCGAGAAAAAAAACACTCACGAATATCGACCGACTTCGTTTCGTTGCCTTCCAGTTCCATATACCTAAAAGTCGGTCTTTCCGACATCACAAGCATACACGCTCAAGCAAGAGTCACAGGACAAATTAACATCCACCGTTTGACCATAAGTTCGCTGATGAAATAGTGGAGTTAAATGACGAATTGCAAAGTAATGTTTGTTAACTTTAATTTCTTGGGGGGAAGGAGATTGATTTGACAGTCTGAAGAAGTGCGCCCTCTTCCAAGTAAATAAACAGATTAGACAGCTGCGCTGCTTGTGCACAGTCATGACAGTGCAGTGTGAGTCGAGTATGTAAAGTTTTGTAAGTTGTTCCGCGTTCCGATTAGAATTTTCAATGTCAATTTTTTGTGTAAGTTCCCCCTAATAATACAAGTTACCGAAATGCTATAATTTTAGAAAGAGAGCTGAACTGATCTGCATATATTATGATTGACAACCCTGTCGCGATAGACTTGCAGTTGCATTTATTGTTGATCATGCGTGTGTGTGTGTGTGTGAATGTGAGCGTGGGTGAATGATTATGGATGTGGCCGGCCGGCCCCGATCGGGGACATGGTGGATGGCTCCGGCCATGGTTGCTCTTCGGTAAAACCAAAACCATAGAGGTAGCCTAGCTCCATTACCGAGGGCCAGTTTGTTTCATTCCAGATCCTAATGAGATCATGTGATCCAGCGCCATGCGAAAACAAACAGGACTACGTATGCGACAAATCCTTTCGGGGCACACAAATGTCGTCTGCTTCAGATTTTAAAACCATGAAAGTCTTGAAGCCAAGATCTTCTACTGCAAAACTATTCATGAGAGTTGATGAGATGGGCTGTAGAGTGTAGTGTAGAATAAATGTTGGTCTCAATTTTAGTTTAGTATTGTGTTATTATTTTTATTAATGTCTGTCATTCTTCTTGATCAGGTTCTGACTTTAATTTAACAGAGGATTATACAGCTTTCTATGGATTTCAGATGTAATTTAACTCGGAGTCGCTGACAAATGAAGTACAGGGCATCAAAAGTATGGAATCACAGAAGGTTAGAAATGTCTCTCCTCATATTTTTTTATTATCTTCAGGCATGCAACTTTTCCTCGGATCGGCTGATTTTCTCTTTTTTTTCACTTCTCATAAATGCCAGTACAAATTGAAAAACACTTTACAAAGTCTTGTGTGGTTTGGAATTTTTCTCATTTTTTTCTAAATTCCCAGTTGCTAGCACCCCTGTATCTTGGTCTTGTTTTTTCCCCTTAATATCATCCTGAATTCATTAAAATCTACCCTAGACTTGGCAATACGGATCAGCTAGGACTAGCAGATCCACGGACCGAGCTACGGCTACGTCTATTGTCAGCGCGTCCCCACGTATTTTCAATGGGCGCGGACCTAGACGTAGCCCCAGACAGCCGATTCGGATGCAGCCTTAGTCAGCATTTGAATATTTTTTACCTTCTGACAATGTGTGAAATTAAACACAAACTGCTAAGATAAAATGAACTTATGTAGGATTTTGAATTTGCTGTCAACAAAAGTGTGTCAAAATCCTCTCATAAATACAGTGTACTTACTACAGATGTTTGCATCCATTTTTTGCTCATAAACATTTTTGTCTGAATGAAAAATGGAAAAAGGTTGCGTAAAAGGTTGCGTAAAAAATGCGTAAAAGGTTAAAAAACGTCTGATGTCAAAACCAAATTTTACTCTGTACTCGTATTCTTAATATCGTCTTGTGTTTAGCTGATCGCATCCCATTCCAATGGTTACCAAAGTGAAGACGCGACAAGGCAGAGGGAGGAACAGCCAGGCTATGGCAGTCTACGATGCTACGGGGAAAGCGACATGGACCGAAGCTCTGACGTCATTTATCTCACCATCGGGGAAAAAAGTACCCCACGATCTGATGAGGTACAATATCCACGTCTTCCGTGAAATGACTTGATACTGATAATAAAGCTTTTCTAGCCAGCCTCAAAACACAGTAAAGATAAAGGGGACGAACCGGTATTCACAGGAACGGAGTACCTATCTCTCTTTTAAAGCGATTGGTCCAGACTCCAATTCCATGAAATGCTGCTGTGGGAAGGGGGGGGGGGATCGCCACACCCCCTCCACAGCGAGTCTGTTACCTTCCCAGCATTGAATACTGCCGGTGTCATATAAAAATCAGACTCGTATGAAAATCTGACTCTTTTTCCCTTTTATTGGTTAAACCCTCTCACGTGACCGGTCCCTCTCCTAATTATCTATGCATAAGCATGCGCAATACCACCAATGAGTCCGTATTTCATAAAACCTAAATTCATGCTACACCGGTACCCATTTAACACCTGGGTTGAGAGGAGTAATTGAGGTAAAGCGCCTTACTCAAGGGCACAACACGCACGGCCACGGCGGGGCGCGAACCCACAATCTCACGATCATGAATCCTGTGCTCTACCGCTAGACCACACGTGCCGTCACAGTAGGAACAGCTAAGACGTGTTTGATGTTATTGTACATGTACTTTAAACTTTACAAATTGGTGGTGGAGGATTTTGCATTTTTTTCTTTTTGAAAGTGATGTCATCTGAAAATTGTTTCCTTCTAAAGTATTGGTTCTGAAAAAAAAAGAAACAACTTACGGTGTTTTTGTGATGTTTCAGACAGAATATTCTGTGCTTCACTTTCTCCTGTGGAGGGCGGAATTATAATTGTCTGAAACTTTAACGTAACCTCTCGTGATCAGTGCTATCGGAACTAACAAGTCTTAACGGAAGACATTTGATTCACCAAGGGTCATCAGCAAACCATACTATTGTGAAATAGCTTTCCGAAGCGTCATCTCTGCTTCACAATTTAGATTTCATTATAATTCTTCACAAGAAGCGGATCTTGGATGCAGAGAATACGGACTACATCGGTCTTGAGTGGTAAAATAAAAGTGCAAGTAAGTGAGAAGGAATGACCCATTGACGTGACTTGTTTAAATTAACAGGAGGAGAGTCGCGGTTTGACAGAGTCCGTCATTTCGGACCCCATGAAGCGAGCTGAGCTATCCGCTAAGCGAGTCGGCTTGTCCAAACCCCATCAGTGGCTGCAAATCTTGGTAAGTATATGGACCAGTCCTTTCCAACTCCTTAAGTTTCTGAATGTAAGCTCTGTGCCAAACCTTTGACGTTCGTGTGCGTATACCGCAAAGTATGCCCCTATAGAATAAAGGAATAGATGTGTGTTCGGCCGGTTTGGAGTCTGGACTCTGATAATGACCCGAGCTGAAGTCAAAACTTTTCGGTCCAAAAGTCCAAACAAGTCAAAAATTATAAATTTCCAACGGTTTTGTTCAACAATTTTACTTTCTCTTTTTCGAAACACCCCTCTAGCTATGGTATGTGCCTCTATAGCCAGAAGTTGTAAACAACTCCTTATATGGAGATTGGGCGCAGAATGCAGCTGTGCCGGTGTATTGAAATTTAGGACTGAAATACTGACCCACTGGTAGTATTGTGCATGCCTACCTGAGGTTTGTGAACATTCAACCAATATAAGGGTAAAAAGGATCAGATTTCATAGGAGTCCAAATTTCATGTGACCGTGGAAAAGTGTTTTAAGACCAGCCAGCTGATGTTTCATTTACTGTTAAAAACCGGCCACTCGATAGACTCTTGACCAACAGGAATGGGTAAACTGTCTTAGTATTTATAACGAAGAATAAAAGAGTGCTTAAGTTTGAGAAAAGTGGAGGAAACCCAAGCAACAGAGCTGACGATTACAAGATTTTGTCTTTTCTGTGTTCTAGATTGGTTGGCAGCCAGTGGTCCAGTTGAAGCCTTACCAAGACGGCAGTACCTTCCAACTGACACTGTTGTGGAAGCTAGTCAACGTCTTGTACCCAGCCCTTATCGTGGCTGTACTGCTGACGGCATTCTTCCTGCAATACGCTTCTTGCTATATGATCAATACTGAATTTCTTCAAAAGGTTTTGTAAAGAAATCCAGACCATTTCCTTGACAAATTTTGTTTAAGACTCCTGGGAATTGAAGTGAATTGTGTTGGTTGCGAAGGTTTTAGTATGGTACCACTGACAACCTTATTTGCTGTTGCATAGTTTGGAGTCCAGGTGCTAATCCTTGATACCACCGCACATTCTCTCCTACAGAATGATGCATCACAGTCAGCTTACTTTTACTTCTGTGATGGCGGAGAAACATTGACCAATGAAAGAAGTCCATTTGGCTCATGAATATACATGAGGTATCAGTCATTTTCAATGGGTGCAGTTAAGACATAAAGACATGGCGAATATTCATTAAGTGTCAAATTTTTGACCATAAGGAACAGACTCATTCACATGTATTCTTTTCCATCTCGAGAGTTTGAATTGATTGTTTTGTCCAACAGAAAAACTTTAGTGCCTTCATGCACCTGTTCTGCAATTCATCAGAGAAGCACCAGCAGGTGCCGTCGCCTGCCCTTCCTCTTAGATGTCAAAAGTCGGTGGCGGGCGTCTACATCCTACCTGGGGTACTCAATCTCATCTTCTACCTCTACTCGCTCATTCTGAACCGATATGTGGAGGGCGAGCAGCTTCCTTCAATGATAGAGAAGGCATGTTATACCCACATCTATTGAACAACCGCGGACTGCTGTGATGTGTGACATACAATGACCGAGGGTGACTGACTTGGGATTTAGCTTGTGAATGACTTATGAGTGTCTTGTGACCGACTTATGAGTGTCTTGCGACTGACTTATGAGTGTCTTGTGACTGACTTATGTGTGTCTTGTGACTGACTTATGAGTGTCTTGTGACTGACTTATTAGTGTGTTGCGACTGACTTATGAGTGTCTTGTGACTGACTTATGAGTGTCTTGCGACTGACTAATGAGTGTCTTGTGACCGACTTATGAGTGTCTTGTGACCGACTTATGAGTGTCTTGCGACCGACTTATGAGTGTCTTGTGACTGACTTATGAGTGTCTTGTGACCGACTTATGAGTGTCTTGCGACTGACTTATGAGTGTCTTGCGACTGACTTATGAGTGACTTGTGACTGACTTATGAGTGACTTGTGACTGACTTATGAGTGTCTGGTGACTGACTTATGAGTGTCTTGTGACTGACTTATGTGTGACTTGTAACCCACTTGTGATCAACTGTGCATAAAACATCCTTAAAGGATTCATGCGATGAATTTTTCTGAGGAACGCATTTTGTGCAACTTTCTCAGTTTAGGGCTTTCCTGTTCAAATTGTGAACCCAAAATGTGCTCATTAAAACATTGTTGAGAAAGGGTTGCTCGTTGGCTTATAGCCATGGCACTTACAAAACAACGAATTACCAAAGAAAAGAAAATTTATGACAGCAAAATATCAAAAATCTTAGCAACTGTTTGCGCTGAAATTGCTGGAACATTGAGGTTTCTGCCTCGATTGCCATCACTGTTTTGCTCATGAATATGGAAATTGGCATTAGCATAAAGAACAATTCAAAACGGCAAAACGAAAATAGAAAATGAGGTTTTATGGGACACAAAGGTGCATTTTCAAGCATTAAATTTTTTTTACATTGCATGTGCCATTTAAAAGTCCTAAAGTGTTAAATCTGTTTTGGGAACAACTCGTGTTCCAAGTTGGAAGATGATCATCCCGGCCATGTTTTATCACGTTTATTTGTTTGTTTGTCGTGCAGGTGTCCCTCCAGTGCTCATCGAGGTATTTCGCCGGATACCGGTCACATAGTCAGTTGGTGCAGTCGCTGGCGAGGTTCTACTATCTTGGCATACTGTGGATGGTCGTAGCTTGTGGGTTACCAGTTTTATTCACGTCATCCGAGTACATGATGCTGGACGGCATCAACTTCACCTTCCTTTGGACATGGTAAGCCCGATAGGTCCATGGAGTGATCTAACTCGGGCCAAGTTCGGGCAAGGACCATTAGTCGACTAGTGGTTGATTTGTGACGTACCTTACGCCTGCGCACTGGTAGCAACGTGCGAACGTCTCTAGTCAAACGCTGGTCAAAATGTCATCGCAAAACTTCTGGATCCTGGCTCTCTGCTAGCGTTATGAATGCGCGCGGCTATTGGTTACCAGCGAAGCAACCAACCCCAGTAGGCTAGTTCCAAATAGTCGACTAGCGTAGTCAACCACCGTCGACTAGACAGAGTTCGGGCAAACGTTAGTTAACCATTGGTCAACTATAGTCCTTGAGCGAACTTGGCCATATTTGGTGCTATGGGCTGGAGCATTAAACTTATGGTCTGTGGGTAATTCGGCAGGTTGTTGGTTCGAGTCCAGCCTGGGGTTGTGGTGCGTGTGCCCTTGGGCAAGGCACTTCGTCACTCATTGCTTCTCCCCACCCAGGAGTAAATGGGTACCTGTAAGGGCAGAGATGGTTATTGTGATTGATTTTAGCTGCTTCGCACCGAAATGGCAGCATGGAGCTGTATACTCCCTAAGGAGCTGAGATGGTCTTTGGAATGTTTCATTGGCCAATGAGCAGGGTAATAATGATGTAGCGCTTGAGCACCAATAACAGTGGATATGTGCGCTATAAATTACACATTGTTATTATAAGTTGAACAGCTTATAAGAACTAGACTTTAAAGGGAATATACAACATTTGCAGACATCGAAAAATAAAACTACCAAGTTTTTACGAAATACCTTACTAGGATGTTGGTAAATGACAGTCTCAAGCATCTTGTAAAATTATGGCACCTGGTGTGAAGTCATTTTCAAGAAAATGGTATTTTTGTATATCCAACGGTGGTCGGCCGACCAGTGTTGGAAAAACCTAACTATTTTTCAACTACTGCTCCAAATTTACCATTTTTTCAGTCCAAATTTTGTTTGCTATTGGTTACATGTTCATGAACGGGTGCAGGCCAGCTAGACTGGTTCCCTTGCCTTACAATTTTCCATCATCTATAAATTGATCCATTTTATCTTTTGTGGAGTCAGGGAACCAGACTACTTGAAAAGTTTTGTTTTTCTTGGTTTTTCCAATCTTTTTGAACACAAAACTTCAAAAATGTCAGTGTAACAATAGTGGATCTATTATACTAACCCCTCAAATAGTTCATTTCTGAAAATTACAGCAAAAGCCAATGATGTACATTCCCTTTAAAAGCAAAGTTTTTCCGTCAATGATCTTTGTCTGCAGCCATAGAGCCAATATTGCATTGACGGTTCTGATGACGGCAGGCTTCGTCATACTCTATCTGTCCTACACAGCCATGTTGACCAACTATGCCACCCAGACCCAGCTCATGATCTACCTGCTGATGGGCCTGTCGGAGCGGATTGAGGACGCTAGCATCCGCATACCGGACAAAGCGATATCGGTGAGACTCGCACGCTCATTGATAACATATTTTAGTATTGTACAAAAAATACCACACACGCAGATGTAAGTGTGTACAGTGAGCTCAATATGTAAGCTTTAAGGTGCGAATTGCATTTTCGCACGCGTAATAAACGTGAATCTGTTTTGTTTTTCCATGTAGCCTGGGCACTGCTAATAAACAGCCGATTTTGTGCTTACCGAGCCTCGCATCTATGTTTCGTAGAGACTGTAAGCAGTAAGCACAGCAAAAGTACGCTTAAGCCCAGAGGGAAAAGTTGCTTAAATCAGTGACATAGCAATAGAAATCTCCATGCACGTGCAATCCATGCCATGAAACAGTGCTTAAGCAAGCAGCATGATTTTCTGCTATAGTAAGCACAACTTTTCTGCTTACTGTTAAGCAGCGCTGTGAATTTAGGCCGTGGTTTTCATTTTGAAGATTTCCCATAAATGACATTTCAAAACCTTTCTTTTTCATTTTCTGAGAAGTTACTAAGTAATAATGTAAAATTAATTACGGGAACTCGATTTTATAATCTTGAACTGGTTCCTGACATCAGCGGTCGGGTAGTCGGGTTCCCAGTTCCCATAGGCAGAGTCAGTTTTGGTTCTGGGTTAACTCCTTCATGGAAAAAACAGATGTCCGACAGGGAAGCTCACAGTACTCAAAGGTGACTGGGCAAAGAATTAAATAATGACTCTTATCTTTTTGACTGATTGGCATGAAACAACTCAACAATTCACTATCGAAGTGTTACGTAATAGCGAGCAAACGAGAAATAATAACGAGAAATTGGTCAACAAATGCTGCCTCACGTTGGTCAAACTGTTTCGCTGTAGACAGTAACCTCACAAATAAAAGCCACACCTGTAGATTCTTTACCAATTTTCAAACAAAACAACACAGAAAATGCTCAGGAAAAAAACACACGCGTCCGTAGTGAGTGGTGGCCATGTTTGCATTGGCGTGATCCCGCTGCTGTGCCAACGACCGGTTTTGGTAGATCTTACTTAATCACTTCGATAGTGAAGTTCTGTGGTATGTGACATGTGCATGACACCCTCGGCTTGAAAAAAAACCCACCCGGGTATGAAGAAACACCTGTTGCTAATTGTTAATTGTGAATGTTGGTAATGGCATGGCTTCGTATAGATGTTCTCATTTGATACGATCAGTCTTTTGCACGTTTTTCATTCTCATCAGATGGTGAACGAGGCAGCCAAACTGCTTAAGGTTGTCAATGGTCACACCGCTTCATGCATGTCACTTCTCATTGTCATCTTGGGCTTGGATGCTGTCTTGTGTATGTTGCATATTAACCTTCTTTTTATTTTGTAACACTTTGGACTTTGGACTTTGAACCTGTGTCTTTCATAGGGGCGGGGACCATTAGTCGACTAGTGGTTGATTTGTGACATAACTTATGCCTGCGCACTAATAGCGACGTGCAAATGCCTCCAGTCAAACTATGGTCAAAATGTTATCACAAAACGTCTGGGTCCTGGCTCGCCGTTGTGTTTTATGATGTGCGCAGCTATTGGTAATCAGTGATGCAACCCTGCCCTGTGGTCCGGTCCAACCATCCTGCGTTCGGTTGAAGTTTAGTCAGACTACGGTTGATCATAGTCCTAGCCCCAACTTGGTCATAGCTGTCTTGAGGGTAGCAGACCAGTAAACAGACTGCCAATAGACCTCGGTGATAATTACGCGCACTCAGTTCCCAGTGGTATTAAAAATACCCACAACTCTCCAAGGTGTTTGAGAAACGCATCAAATTCAAGCTTATTTCATCATCTTTAATTGTCTGCTCAATTTTTGGGGTGTTAACCCAATGACTTTTTGGAGCAAATTCCATCCAAAGATGATCACCCCTAAAAGTAGTCCTGAAGCCCATCGCCATTTTGAAAAAGGACGGCTACGCTCCATGGCAAAATAGAGCCATTTGGGGGCCTAATTTCATCAAAATTTCACAGAAATACGAGTTTGCAGTCCTCTGCACGGCTTCCAACCCTTCTTGTTTCTAAACCCTCAAGTCCAGGGCACTCCAAATGCTCTAATACCGGAGAATTTGAGGGCGTGCAGATTGTGATTTGACCTGCGTATTTCGGGCCTATTTACTGGCCTTCACCCTTAGTTGCCGGCAATAGCGCCACCTATTGTTACGACACGGAGTCCATAATCAGAGCACATCATGTGCGTACACATCAATCATAGCCACCTCACTACACCTGGATCCTCAATGTTTCATATTGCACCTTCATGTATTGGGCCTGCATGACGAAAACAAACAACAGTTAACGTTAATGTAGTGTTGCAATCTTGTGATTTCCTTACGACTTGATTACAACTCGGCTTTTATGATACGGAATGTCTATTCCACCTTGAGAATGCATGCATTGCATTTTGGCCCGCATGTTTCAATACAAAGTTACACCTGCCAACTTTTGATTCGAAAGGTTTGCAGCAAGATTAACAGTGGTACTATGCGATAACAAGTCTTTTTGTAAGTTATGTTTGGTACTGAGAAGAGTCTCTGGCCTTGGCTATTATACCAATGATGAATGTTTATGAGTGCAATGGTAAGAATAATTTCATGAGGTGACAGATGAATGTTCCATTCCACGAGGCGAAGCCGAGTGGAATGGAACATTCCATCTGTCACCGAATGAAATTTTTTTTCTCCATTGCATGAATGTAAAACATTCATTATTTGTTTTATACAACACCTGAATAAATCCTAGTCATCTGATTGGTCAGAGCCACCAATCATGTGACCGTGCAATGGAACTTCTATTTTTGCAGTGCGGCCGGGCCGTGTGTTGGGAGGAATAATTCAATGACATGTGATCAAGGACCCACCAATCAGATGACGGTGATTTCTTCAGGCGTTGTATAAAAGCTTTTAACGAATTAATATTTCTTTCTGTATGGGCAATATTAACCTCTTTTCTGTTTGTCCCTGCAGTTGTTGTTTCCGTATCCAGTGGTACACTGACCAGGTTGGACCCTCTCCTCTCTGGTTCGTACATAGCAGGTGCCATCATTGCTGTCGTCTTCATTGCCATCAGTCTCATGCAGGTACGGTTTGTGCCAGTTACAGACTGGTGGTCCTGAGTTAGCCAAACGAAACAATTAGCCTCATAAATTATGAAAAGTCCCTAACCCTGCTGAATTCAACAGGATCCAACTATGTCACATACCCGATGGAGCCTGTTGGATTGAGCAGTTAACCCCTTGTGTACATTCCTCATGCAAATTGTTCGATTCAGCAGGCAACTGAACCGCATTTTAACGCCATGTTAGACTCCGTTGGATTCAGCAGACAACTGAAAATGAGGCACAGTGGATTGAACAAGAAAGTCCGGTTGGACTCTGTTGGATTTAGCAGGGTAGTCCTGAGGAAGTACTAGGGGGTAAGGGTTACCCTAACCTCACCTTAAGCTACAAAACACTACTAGTACTAAACTGAAGTATGAAATACTTCAACATATAAGTGTGCACAACACTCACAGTATTCTGTAGTACTCAGTTCTCTATCCCAATGGCTAGGAGGTTAGGGGCAATATCATAAAATACCGCCTGTAAGCGATTCTTATGGCTCCATTATTAATGACATGTACGACAGAGAGTCGACTCCTCAACAAAGTAAAGTGGTGACTTTGATTTCAGCTTGGAATTTGTCCCATTCTATTCTGGTGCCGCGCTCTCCAAGCGTGCAAACCATGGTCTTTTTTGTTTCTCAAACCGTAGCGTATAATTGCCTTCCTGCTCTTGTTTCAATCTCCAGGCAAGTAGGGTTACGTCGGCTTGCAATCGGCTCAAACGCCTGGGTCATGAGGTTCGCGCCAGACCGTTTGGTTACCATGATGCGTCCCAGAATGCTTTGGACTCCTTTATGCTCTACCTAACGACACTGAACATCAAGGTAAGGATTAAGGACCCGTCAAGCAATTTCTAGCTCCTAACTTCACAGTTCTGAAGTGTAGAATGCATTAACTTTTTGTGGTTAGAAAATGTCTCAAAACCGGCCTTTTCCAGAAAGTTTACCAACTTTCAATTGTTTTGTTGCTCAACCCTGCACAGGCCTGTTAACCAGAGACGTTAGCTTTGTAGGGCAAGAGTTTTTTTTTCAAAATCAGATACACTTTACTTGTGCCAGAAAATAAATAACTAAATGTAGTCCTATCAGGCTCCCAGGCTACAGTGCTCTTACACTTTTAAGGAATCCCTGGTTTCATTTCATGTGGAGTGCCGTGGCCTCGTGGTCCGGAGCATTGAACTCGTGGTCTGCGGGTAATTCTGCAGGTTGTGGGTTCGATTCTAGCCTGCGGCTATGGTGCGTGTGCCCTTGGGCAAGGCACTTTGTCACTCATTGCTTCTCCCCACTCAGGAGTAAATGGGTACCTGTGAGGGCAGAGATGGTTTATGATTGATTCTAGCTTCTTTGTGCCTAACAGGCAGCATCGAGCTGTATACTCCCCAGGGAGCTGAAATTGTATTTGGGAATGTTTAATTGGCCCAATGATTGGGGTAATAATAATGCAAAGTGCTTTGATCTTAGTTAAAAGTGCTATATAAGTACCCGTTTTTATTATTATAAAGCATTGAAATAAATAAAATTCAATATGATCATGACTTATACAGCATGATGATCTGTTATTCTGTTGCAGGCCAGACTGTGTCGCATACCCATCTCCAAGTCTCTGCTCTGGCCGATCAGCTTTCTCTTGTTGCTCGCTGTTGTGCTGCTCCTTCAGTTGGAAGTCACCACCGCGTCTTAGATGCTCCAGCAGGGACTCTTGGCTTGGACTATTGTCACAAGTACATCAGAACATCTTGTGCCAAGGAAAAGGACGTCAGCAGCCAAGGCACGCAGAGACACTTTTTGGAGATAATCGAGTTTAGAGGTTTTGTGTTCCCATTTCTAAATTAACAAGCTCGATCGGATCTCGGATGCTGCGGGCCAACAAATTTGCGTTCACCTTATTTTGACCTTTGACCCCATAGCTGTAGGTCAGATGAAGAGGTCACCATGGGCGTTTTTAAATTTTTGACCAAGGCCAACATGTTGACAGCGCGACTTTTGTTATTTGAGCTTGCTTGAATTTGGACGTTATTTTGACCTTGACCCAATGATGACCTATGACCCCAGTTTGGTCATGTGACATGTTGGGGCTGGGCTACTGATACTTGTGACAAAGTTTGGTTGAAATCGGTCAAAATATGTAGGAGCAATAGACAATGTCAACATTTGATTACTAACTAAATAACGAACTAAATAACTAACGTACGGACTAACGGGCGAGACATGATGATTTGTTGAGCTGCTGCCCACAGCTAAAATATAATTTAAGGCTGATATTTTGGACAAATGAAATTCGTTAATAATTGCAATAATATTGTGCGTTTATATTTCACAGTATTACTAAAGTATTACTGAAGTTATTTACATTTTTATGCCAATGGCCTTTTACCGGGAACTCCCTTGCCATAAATGTGCGCTTCAGCGACATGTTAAATCATAACGTCCTTTTGCCGGGAATAAACTTGACTTTACCCACCCACTTCATTGGGACATTAGCGCATTTGGAACATACTAGTATTAAACGCTAACGTCCTTTTTGCCAGGGGAAAGGGAAAAACCTCCCTCCGTCTTTTTCATACTGTTAATGCCGTCAGAATGACGTAGTCCCTCGAGACAAAATGTACCTGAAAAATCCAAATTTGATCTTTTGACCCATTTTTCGCCGTAACGAACCTCTTCCACGCACCTGACGAAAAGTCCGGTCCCAAGTTAAATCACAAGTCCGTTGCAAAGTAACAAGGCTTGAACAATAACAAAGGAGGGCCTTTTTCACATGCCCCGCATTTCCATTGCAACAGTTTGTGTAAGAGATCAGTTTGGGAGGGGAGACAGTGAACTAATTTAAGGTATAGTCCATCATTTGTAATCTGTGCATTTTGTTCGTTTGAAGCAACAAAAGTGCTCAAGATCTAAAGAAGGGTGCTGAACAACTAACCTGATGAAGTTTCAGCTCATCTTTAGCTGTATATTTCGAGAAAAACAATATTCTAGGATCTCGATTCCAAATCAAAAGTTGCTTCTTAAGAAGCACCGTTGGAAAGGCCTTCTTTTGTTGATTTCTTCAAAATGACAGGTTGCCAGAAAGAATAATTTCACAGGGAGTTTAGTCCCTTTACTATCGTTCAACCAAGTATGTTTTTGAACAATAAAAATGCCAGTTACTTTTTGGATAGCAGCAAATGATGGACTCTGGCTTTAAAAGTCGGAATGGGATCCGTGTGCTTGCAGTGAATTTCGTCGTGTGCTATAAAATTGCAACTTGCTGCAAATGCTGTAAATAAAAATGTCGCCATTGAAATTTCAAGCTTTGCAGGTTCAAGATGTTCTCTCTCTGCAATTAACCACTTATAAATTTGCAAGTTTATAAAAATCTAACTGCCTTACATTCTGTGTGTCCTAGAAAGACACCAACTACATTGTACACTAAATTGGGGGCAGTATTACAACAATGCCAGTTCTTTTCCAACAATGGTCAGCCGACCATCGTTGGAAATTTATACGAAAAAATCTACTTTTCTTGAAAATGACAGCACAGCAGGTGCCATCATTTTCTGGAAAATGACAGCACACCACGTGCCATCTTGTTATTGTTATAAGTATTTTAAGGAACTATTTTAATGAAAGTATTTTATGGAATTAATGTATGCACAGGACAATGGAGAATTAACAGCGTCTGTAGAATTGATGGGATATTTTGGTTTCCAGTGGACAGATGTTTTTTTTAAAACATTTATACCTGTTTGTAATTAAAGTACCCATCTTAGAATACAATTTTGATGGTAAGAATATGTAAATAATTCTTGAACACTGATGGGCTGGCTACTTTTGTTTGCAGTTCCTATTTTTGGACATTTTAATATTTTAAGAAAATTGCTCTTATGCCACATACTGCCTCCACACAATCTTGATTTAATTCAGTGAGTTAATGTTGAAATCTATTTACAATTTATTAACAATTTATTTGTTATTAATCGGTTGGATTTGTAAGCAAATAACTTGTAGGAATCGGCTAGTTTCTTACTAAAGCGTATAAAAACACTGCCCAATTATATTTCTCAATTCGCATTAAAAAATAAAAGTATACTGACATCTTGTTTAAAAAAAACATTATGTAAGGCCAAAAAAAAAAGTCTCCGGTTTCTGGTATGCGCGCGCGTCGCCGTAGCCATGCGCGTCGGCAAAATGAAAAAGGTTTTTTTTTCAATGAAAGATGATGTCTCAAAACCGCCAAACTCACTGGTTTGACTAAAATCCTGCTGCTGCACAATTTTAACGTGTTTTTAGATAGGGTTATGATCGAGAATAAGCTTTATGTGGCCTCTCTGGTCTCCCATAATATTTGCACTAAGTTTAGTCGGGCACCATTCGCAGTCATCAGCCGACATTTGAAGCAAAAGAAACAGGTAAAAAAAAAAAAAAGCCGCGTCGCCGCACCACTTTTTGGGCAAGCTCCATACCAGAAACCTGAGACTTTTTTTTGGCCTAAAGGCAACTTTAAAAACAACTGTTAATGAGTACTAGACGTTTTTCCTTACGAGTATCTAACATATATGAAAATTGTTTGGCACAATTGTAGCCAACAGAATAAAATATGTTTGTAATTTCTAAAAAAAAAATGCGTGAGTTTACCACTTCCTTCTAATGCATTTTCCTTTCATTTCATTTTTCCTTTCATTTCGAGCGATTTTTTAGCATCTAGTACAGTCAAACCCTAATAAGAAGAGCACTGTTAATACAACGTCATGCTTATAACAAGCAAAATCTTAGGTCCCAAGTCTTTGTTTTGCTTTGTTTTCCAATACTGTTAATACAAGGTACCTGTTATAACAAGGTAAATTGTGAAGTCCTAAGGACCTTGTTATAAAGGTGTTCGACTGTATTGCCTTTTGAGTTTCTTCAAGTTTATTTTTTCATTATTATAATACTCGAATCACTATTTGTGCTCGACTACTGTTTTGTTAATGAACTATATACAACTTATAATACTGCATATTACTACCTTTTACAGTTGTCATTATTACATTTCACATTCTTCAGTCTAAAAATCAAGTAGTCGCCGAGTGTAGGCTCTACATAATCAATTATTTATAAAAGCTTTCAGCTTATGCAAATGATTCTTAATGTGACGTTTGGAAGAACGTATACGCGTATTTAGTGACATCGGAGAAATTTGATTTTACTGAAAATGTACTGAAGCATAGCAACAAGTTATCTTCACAGGCACTATCTTTGAGAATTGATTAAAAGTTATTCTGTTTCTCAAGTCCGTGAAAAAGCAAACTGAAAATTCAAGTCAAATCACAAGTAACGCCACACGTAACATTGAGGATGAACCTTATATCAGTTATAAATATTTAATAACTTGACACTTGATTTGAAAGTGGGATAACTTTTGCGGATTTGTGATGACGTGAGGATGTGTAAGGACCTCACTGTGTCGTGTTTAGTCATCTACCAAGTTGTAATAATCATCTCTCTACAAGGAGCTAGATCACAGTGGCGTAAATGCTTGGCGAGTTGGAGATGACCATATACCCCGCAAAATCCTGAAAATGCTGGGGGGGGGGATACAATGACCAATCTCCCCGTCAAAAATTGGTGAATATATCCTCCCCACCCCTCCTGGGATTTACGCCCATGTCTGCTCATTTTCTTCAGTGTCATCGAAGACGGGGTTAACATGAGCTTGGTCCGTCGGACTGTCGTCCGTAAAGTTGGTCTGCGACTCCTCTTCCGTCTTCTGGTCCTCCTGCTTGCCTCCTTTCTCGACCTCCTCAGCCTTGTCGCTCTCGTTCGCATCCTTCTCCACTAAGTCTTGCTGGTCTTCATCCTTGCGACAGCAGACATAGCGGATTAAGACGTAGGCCAAGGTAACGACTATACCCTCGACCAAGCTGATGAGGCTGGTCATCAGTGGGACGCGGCCCACCAGGTCGGACTCCGGGCGCGGGTAGAACAGATCCAACATGGTCTTGGCCAGGAGGGCATTCTGCGCTCCTGTCTCCAAGGCAACAGTGATGACAGACTTCTTGGGAAGACAGATGATCTTGGCGATGATCCCGCCTAAAAGGACCCCTCCAATCGGAAGGAGAGCCGAGACAACCCACACCTGCCAAGGAGACGTGAAGATGTAGAGCTGAGAGGGGATGCCCAGACCCAGAGCCAGCAGGATCAGGATGCCAGCCAGCGGCTTGAGGAGCTTCTCACAGATCTTCTTGAACTTCTCGAACTTGTAGCACAGCCCCATACCGACCCCAATGGGGATTACCAAGACTGCCAGCTGGATAGCGAGCTCCACAAATGGCGTCTTGAGCTCGGAGTTATCAGCCACGAGGGGCGTGGCATAGATGAAGAGATTAAGGGGCATCATCCCCATGGCCATGACGGTGGAACAGAAGGTCATGGTGAGACTCAAGACAAAGTCACAGTCCAGCAGGAGACTGAAGATGTTGCTGAGCCAGCCTCCTGGACAGGTACCGACGAATATTAGACCCAGTGCCGTCTCATTATCCAGAGAGAAGATCTTGGTCAGGGCGAAAGCCCAGAGTGGCATCAGGATGAACTGGCCCAGCATACCGATCAGGATCCCCCATGGAGGCTTCATCTTGCTCCAGATGACCTTAGGCTGCATCTTGGCCCCCGTGGTGACGTAAGACAAGCAGAGCCAGACCAGCAGCAGGTAGGTGAACAAAAAATCGAGGATGGTGGGCACCCGGATGACCTTGATAGTGTACTCACCCACCATCTCCTTGGCCATACCATCCCTCTTCACCCGGAGCTCCAGCTCCGATATCCCCAAGGCCTTCCCCCTCACATGCACGGTCATCATCACAGGTAGATCCCCGCTGCCGGTGATGTTGAGCTCCGTGGCGTTGACTATCTCGTAAATGCTGTCATCAGTGCCGACTACGCTGATGATGCCTAAATCCACACCGCCTGTGATGGTGATGTTTAAAGGAAGCACCTGGCCTTCTCTGACGGTAAAGAAGTCCGTGTCGGCGTCATGGCTCACAGTGAAGTTCACGGAGCTTGGTTGTGCCGAGGCTAAGACGAGACAGCCCCCAATCACCAAGAGAACCGTTTGGATTGTAGAGTGGTAGACCATCTTGTCTCAAGATGGAACGATCTGCAACGTATAACACAAATAAAAGACAGGACATCAAGATTGTGTCAATCTATATGAAAGAACTAGCTTTAGTATATGCATTTTGAAAATTCCATATTTTTTTTCAAGGGAAATATAATTCTTCTAGAGACGAAGCAAGGTCTCTCCCGTCAGTAACCGTGACCCTTTTCTTGTCAGCGATATTTTGTACCGAGATACTCAAAATGTGTACAACTTTTGAACGATCTCCCGAGTGTTCCTCTATAGTTCTGTAGAGATCCTCAACATGAAAAAGTAGGGCTTCTGATTAAAATGTACCTTTTAAAAATCTTAATTTTGAACATTAATGTGTACCGGTATGCACATCCATTTGACGGGACATCAGGGCGCAGTTAGTCACAGCAAACGTATTGCTCTTTTTTTCTCATCAGGACTAACAAAAATTAAGATAGGATTTCAAGGATTCTTAAACAATTTCCATTGCATGAGCTCGCCTCGGGGTCCATTCAAACACATAACGTGCTCAAGGTTGTACAGGACAAATAACGGGCTCAGAGAACCAATTTATTTATTTGTATCATCTATCAAACGGGCTCAGAGAACCAATATATTTATTTGTATCATCTATCATCGATATAAGATTCGGCGTAAACACTTCGCATTGTTGAACATTTCAAGGATTGAGCACTCCAATGGCCCAACGCGAATACCCCAACACGAACATTGCAACGGCAAAGTGTACCACGGACGCATTGAGGATTGTTCCATGTATAGAAGCTGTATAGTGTACCGGTACCGATCCACAAAAATTAAGGCATCTTTTTGAACTAAAGCCAATTCTTGCCAATTCAAAACAAAAGTTATCCAGGCCAAAATTCAACTGCTGACTGAAAGCTATATGCCCATCATGAGGCTGCGGTCAAACTATAAGGAATGAACACTCAAATGGCCGAGGACATGCGAATAATATCAAAGTGTACCACGGACGAATTCAAAAGGGGACTACCCCCCCCCCCCTCAATTCTCCTGACAGTTTTGGAGGATTTTGGAGAATTGAGAATGAATGGCGTTTGAGAAACACGAGGATTTTTGCGGGATTGAGGATGAATGGTGTTTTTTGGACATCAGGATTGTGGAGGATTGAGGATGAGTGTTTAAAGAAGAGGATGATTTTGGAGGATTGAGGATGGATGCATTTCTTTGAGGCAGGACTGTCTGACGATTTTGAAGGATTGAGGCGATGGGTATCCTTCATTTGAACATAAGTGCAACATTTTTGAGGATTTTGGAGTCTTGAGGATGGTAACTAACATAGCAAAAAGGCCCTAAAGGAACTTTAGGGTTGTGTTAGGGTTACGTGATAAGTTATTTAAACTGTACAAATCTATGAAGTTCTTTGAAATGAAGCAATAATCTTGCCAATTAAAATATTAATCGCCCAGGTCAAAATTTCAACTGCCGACTAAAAGCTCTGCCCATTACAGGCCCATATAGGTCATGATGTTGTATTCTGTGTAAAAAAAACCTGAAGAGTTGCCTCTTATACTCAGCAGTCTCGTACGGATGGACATGGAAATAAAGAGCAAATTTGCATTCGCACATCGGTAAACATCTCCCAACAAAAATCCATCCATTTTTCTTTCATCTAAGATCTTCGCAGTGTTTCAAGAAGCATATCATCTCCTTTTAGATGAGTAGAGATCGGTGGTATTTGATTCTTGATTCTGGTCCCAGGGTTTGTTGTGAGAAGTTAAAAATACTGCGAGATAAAGTGGCTTGCCCATGGACACAACATGGAACCAGCAGCAGGATTCAAACTCTGTGTCCCCGTGAAAAAATCACAAACCTAAGAGCACAAAGTCGCATTATTATTCCCACTGCAAGTTATGCGTCCAATGCCTCCCCCATTTTGTCTTTTTTTAACCCCACCCACACCGATGTCTTTTATCCTCTACTTGTGAAATTCCTTGTTCCACTATGTTTACTATAGTGTCCCAGTGGACGACATATTTGTTATGCGTCAGCACACAATATGGTTTGGGGTTTATAACCTAGCAATGCTCGTGCGTGCTCCGTATCAATAGATAGAAACGCACCCAATTACAGGCCTTCTGAAAAAGGGTTGGAGGGGGGGGGGGGTGTATCATCATGACATCATCACCCACACAAATAAACCAAATATCGCGGGAGAGTGCGACCTCCCAAGTTTCGTTTACACACTGCGCCGCGGTGAGTGTCCCTCACTCATAACAAACATCGTAAATAACACCCAAGAACCGACAGTTTAGAAGCAATCCCTTGTCCAAATATCGAATCTACTATTCATTCCGTGCACGCAGCCCAATTATATGGGCCAATTTATACTTTTTACGATACTCTAGTCTAACCGTGGAGAAATACTCTAACCATGAGTTACAGCTCTTGATGACTTCCGGGAGATTGTCAAGTGTTCCTCTTCGATGGGTGTTTGACTTTCAAGTTTTATTTTCGTATCTGGTGTGACTCGGTAAACAAGTCAAAATGATGGGTCAATTAACATTGCGGCTACTGTGCATTGAACCGACCGACGAAAAAACCCAGACAACTTGTCATAAAATGACTCAAATAGAGACAGTATAAAATCTGTATATTCTTCAAACAAAAAAGTTCCCATTTTTCTTCTAGAGAAAGAACACTGGGGGGGGGGGGGGGGGGGGTGTTCCGAGGTTTTTCCCCCTCCCTCTGCCCTTGAAAGTAGGTCCATCTCAAAAATAAATAAATAAGAATGTATATAAGTAAGTTTTATTAACCTTCAGACTAATTTATTTTCATCTTATTATTTCGATATCTTTCATTCCTCACAGCTCTTTCATTCATCCTCTAAACTCTGAAAACCGTTTATCTAACGTTCACAATGAGCTCTCCTCCGGAATATTCATTGTTTGGGGCCACTCATTTGCATATAGAACCATTTCAGACCAATCAGGAAGCACCACGCCCATGGCCATCGCATTGAACGCAAAGAGTTGCCATGTTTAGCGACATGGTCGCATAAAGTATCAAATTCTGAGATCAAACAAATCGGCAAACTTTATCTCATTCAGCGACACTTGTTTTGTCACTTTTCCCCCAGATATTTAAGGATAGTTTTTTTTTATCCCATATACAATATGGGTTTGTCAAAGGGATTACGAATTTTGTAGATACAAAATTCTGTAATCTTTTAAGCAAGCCTACAAACTTTCCCTCGTACAAAGCCATTTAGTAGAGGACCCATTTTCTTTGTCTCGTTTGTTAGTTCTTGAAGTGCTATGTATAATGTATAGAGCAAGTTTTGTTGCTCTACATAATGAAGTGTGCGAAATGGATTACAGTTTTGATTTTCAAATATTTTGGATGATTCCAAACAAGTTGTGTTCGGACCTCTTTTGATTCGATCGATGGCTAATCTCAGATTGGAATATTTATTCCGTACTGTACTAACAGTACTAAGTGTTGTGATGTGCGCAATTTTTCAAAATTATTTATCGCAAAGAAAGAGGTTTTACATCGCACGCCCTTTAGTCAAGAATTCAGCTTGCAAATTCTGAAAATTTAGTTAATAAAGCATTGAAAGTTGAGGAAATCAAGATTTTCATGTCTGAAAAGAAATACAAGTTCCGTGTTTATTTGTGTTTCGTGATCAGAGGGGCCCAAGTTCGAATCAAGCTGTAATGGGCATGTTAGGCCTACACTTTTCTACTTGGGAATATAAATGGGTAACTGCATGGGAAGAATCACAGACTTGTATCCCTTCCAGAAATGGAAATGGAAATAATTATTCTTAGTAGGTTTCATGCGTAAGAAACAGGAGATAAATACTGAAATTATATATAGTCACAAAAACATGCCATTTTTTTAAACAAAAGCAAATCCGAAGACTACAATTTGCCTGCTAAAAGTTTCAAGTTGTAAAGCTCATTAAGAAACAGCAAAATATCACTTCTTAATAATCTGCTAAAAGTCTTGCTTGTAAAAAAGAAGCGTGACGGTTATTAAAATAAAGGAAACGAAAGGGCAGAATGAGCCTCAGTATGGAGTTCTCAGAGAAATGTAAATACATGTACATGTGCATTAATATAAGGTAAATAAGTCGGCATTTTTTTTCATCAGATTGTTGATAAACAAATCTGTTTAGAACTGTAACTTTTCTCTATTTGAAACACCTTTTTTATTTTCTAATCAAATAGGCATTCAAAAGAATTCTTCTACGTCTTGCTCGACTTGTTGTTTGGTGCGTCTCTTGAACACTATCCCTATTATTTACATCTCTATTTTAGTCAAGATATTATTATAGAAGTCCTTATTGGTTAATTTTCAGCGATCTTTGACTGCATGCCAAATATATCAACTCTGAAAATGCTTGGTCAAAACAAAAAAAGTACCTTTTGTCCAGTGGAATGCTGTTGCACCTGTTGACTTGGGTTCCGCTGGAGGAGTTGAAGCAACCTGCCTGACGGCCCACCTGGGTGAAAACAACACTTGCACCCAACGCGCAGCCAAAGTGATTATCCGTTACTAGCAATCCGTCTCTTTTATGCCGCAGCGGAGCAATTCCGGTTATTTACATGACAACAGCGGCTGTTACGTAATCGCTTTTCTTTCGACTTCCAGAGGGTCGCCAATAATTGCTTTGTGTCAGCGGTCGACTCAGGTGGAGGTTTACCGTTGTATACAAACCTGTCTTTTGTGTGTTTTTTTTATTGAGTTTTGCAGAGGCGGTGAATTGGCCATCGGGATATTCCGAATAAAGAGTGATAAACGGATTTTAAACCAGGTTTCGAAGTGCCATTTTATAATAAATAAAAGGTTTTTTTTTGACGACCTGATTTTGTGGGACTTAAAAAGACTTTGAACTGAATCTTTCCAAGGAACACAACTTTCTACTCTTAAATGTATGAAAACTGTTTGACAACCTTTTTTTTTTGGGGGGGGGGGAGGTTAATTTGATTGAAAACTGCACTTTTATTCAACATAATTATAACATTTTCCATGCTTTTCCGGACAACTGAGGGCGCTGTTGCTGTGATGTCATTTCAGGAAGACAATGTTCAGTTTAGGGGTTTTCTGCTCACATTGTGAACCCCAAATTTGCTCATTGAAACCATTTGTGAGAAAAGTTTGCTCATTAGGTTAATGCCATGTGGTGGCAGAATATGTACGACTGTCACAGCTAAATATCAAAACTTCTGGCAACTTTTGGTGTTGAAATACCTGACTTGAATATGGAGGTTTCTGCCTGAAATGTCATCACACTTTTGCACATGAATATAGAAATTTGCAATAGCATGAAGCCATGAAACCAAAACATGCACCAAAATACCTTTGCAAGTGGCAAAACGAGAATTGAAAATAAGGTTAAATATATGGGACACAAAGGTGCATTTACAAGGACTGCATTAAACACAACTACATGTACATTGCATATAAGCAAGGATGAATCGGTAGGATTAAGATAGTACGTGCAATTGAATGTTTGTTGTTACCGGTATTTACCGTTGATGTACATTTATATAAGTCGATTTTAATTGGTCCAACCTTCTCCCAACCTTTTTATGAAGCTTTTGCATGAAGTATAATTGGGGAGTTTTTGTGCTGATCATTCCGATTCGTAGAAGAGGGTCATTCATGGTGACCAGTGATATATCGCTCTATCATTCTATAGCCTTTCCATTTCGCAGTTAATAATTTCGGAACTATGACATCAATGGCAGTTCCTCTAAATTGACTTAAAACGCAAACAGTTTGTTGTCCATCTCAGCGCTCTTGCATTATGACCTCAATTTCTATGATCCAAAAGGTATGCCTACGCTCTCACGAACTATACTAATAATGCTCAGGAAACAGTGTTGCATACTTGTAACTATAATATTAAGGGGAGCATCCATTCGTGAGTCTATATTCTGGAATGGAAATTTATATTCTTTAACATTAGCTACAGGGTATTTCTTGTTCGGAGTGTTAAACATCATAATGTACGTGGCTAATGGATGGGCTGTTCACTATAGGACAACTTAACGGCATGAACTTGATTAACTTTATCACGTCGATATCGAACGTTGTAGACGCAAGAAAGACACAAACTGAGTCTCTGCGCTTTTCATCTTAGTATTGGCCCTATGATGCAACAGCAATTCAAATTCCGCAACTTTGCCGCTAGTAATTCGAAAGTTTTAAAAGCAATGAATCAGTAACTCAACGTGCACGGGATGATTTTGTTTTCGGTCGACGTCTCATTCAAAGTTAACAACTCTTGTAAAAAACGGGGCCGGTGAATACAGCTTATAGGGCTTAAACTAATTCCGCTTGGTTTTGAGAGTGAAAGGTCACGACTCCCCCCCCCCGTCCAAAAAAGGCCAGGCGTATTTCTGACGGCAAATCTGATATCTTGTCAGGGCCCGGGCCCATGGCGTGACAGGTAGCAGCATAAAGGTAGCCAACACAATAAAGATGTTTGTTTTGCTGTATTTACCCCCACTGTATGCCCTTGGTGGTAGCTACCGGTAACTTTACATTACCTTAGTATTATCCAGAGGGTGTGTGTTTAGTAGATTTGTTACCTGTACAAGTTAGTATAACACATGACTTTTATTGTCGATGGATAGATTTACAGCCCGTCAACGGGACCATTAAATCACTTCTATGTGCTAATAAAGGACAGTTTTATGATACCAAACTTTTCATCAAAGTTGTATAAAAAGTCTTGCCCCTAGTGCCCCCTTTGTATGGCCCCTCCCCCCCCCCCATTTCGCACCACTGACACTATGGGGTGGGTGTCCTTGCCCCTCTCAAAGAAAATTGTGTTGATGGCGCTGCATGCAGCGTTTACGTTGTGCCTAAACTAAAATAGACCACTCGATTGAGGGCGCTCTATCTGCAAAACAAATATGGCGTCGTCCGGTAGTCGTGCTGCGGGTTCCTTGTTCTTACGTTTGGCCGGATTGTCGGGTGCTTCTGCTGTAGGATTGGGAGCCTACGGCACACATGGTAACTCCCAGCAATAAAACGTTTCAAGAAATTTGACTTTTGGGGGCCTAACCCCTAGCTCAAGTGTGGAACAAAACAATTGGGGAAGAACGCGTAATAAGTTACATTATTAATTATTAACCATGTTATGAAATAATTATCCTTCGGGAAATTTGAATATTTTGTCTGAATTAGAGTCAAGTCCGTTTGCAAATACACACAATAAGGACCACAGACATTGACGGGCAACACTTTACAACGGACCATCTTTTATCTGCCTCTATCGGCTGATTTGTCGGACCTGCTGGGGAAGTACTTGGTACAATATTAGTTATCCCGCGAGCGCGAGTGGAACACGGAATATTATCTTCAAGCAAACTTGAATCCTCGATCCTGATTGGTCGATCCATGGCAATAAGCCGTGCTACATGGTTATACGTAGCACGGCTTGTTGCCATGGATCGATCAATCAGGATCGAGGATTCAAGTTTACTTGAAGATAACACTTCTAGTCGGAGCTAAGATTTTACTAAAGTGGATTATTAAAAGTTATCAATAAAACTCATGGGTACGCCTGGAGGCATAATTATATACGTAGTTAGACATACATACTCGTACCTCCACGGTGCACTCCAAACGTATTTTTTTTTATTCGTTTTAGTGTTGAAGCCTAAGGCTGGTATTGAACACGAAAAGCAGGTATGTGCTTATTGTCATTCACACCCTCAAGTTAATTAAAAGAAAGTTTCTAACGGAAACTCGTCATTAAAGAAACATTTCACTCAAACAGCTTTGGCCAACAAAGTGGGGCTGCAAGGCAGACAAGATATGGTTGTTGCTGTACCTTGGAACTATTTAATACTTTTTTGCTCAATGAATTAACTTGAATTGACGCAGTCCTTATTTGGAAAACCAGTAAAACCTCGATGTATCTTTGGAAAGGGTGTTTTCGAGAAAACCTGGGCCCTACCAAAATTTTGGGGGTATTGCCTTTTTCTTATTCTCAATCAATTTCATTCAAACTGTTTTCAATTTCGACGTTATTAGACCATTAAAAAAAATCTTTCAACATATTAATTTGCCAGTTAAAGGACGTTTTATAAAGATACAGCAGACATATTCCTTGAATGAAAATGTATCTTGACTTTATACTAAAATGATGTATTCCTTTAGAACTTGTCCTGAGATTTTAGATAAAGTGTTACCAATTTAAAGTTATTGCAGTATTAAAATCTACGGCCTTCCGTTCCACAATTTGGCGAGAACCATGCCATGTATGATGTACGTCTTAGAAACACATAACGTAGAAGATGATTTTTTTTTAAAAGAAGCTTTGTATCTTACAGATATGGCACATTAGGTGTTACTAAAGTAACGGATACATCGTTTCACTGCGTTAGGAAATATTGACAATGTGCGTATATTATTATGTATGTTCGACATATTCTAACAAATTATAAATACGCACAGACAGTCCCGTTTTTACTCTAGACACATTATGAACATCTTCACCCCTTAAAAATTCATTAAAAGTCCATTTCTCCGTGAAAAGATCTTTAAGAGACGTTTCACAGACATTTACATGGGGCTTATATAGGACTAATCCTGCAAGGGTATTTTCACGGTTTTTTAATGACCCTGACCACTGAGGATTATCATTGGTTATACATACCGGTACACTGGGTCTATCTCCATGGGTAAACAAAGGACCTTCTTAAGGGTGTTTTCACGGACTCCTAATCTGGCTTAATATGTTGAAAAATCCGTGAAAATTTAGTTAACAGTAATTTCAAGGGAAAATGGCTCTTTAACGAATTTTTAAGGGATGAAGATGTTCATATTGGAATTTCTAAGCGGTACGTGTACCTTTTAACTTGAAACTTGCACAAATGAAAAGAGCGCCCTCATTTTACCCAGGTTAAACAAATACCAAATTTGTCAAAAATGTGAGATACTGTACATCGTTTCTCAAAATTTGGGCCGAGCAGTAGCTTAACCGAGCTAAACATCTCCGTACAGCAACAGTAGATGGGGCTGTCTCATTAACCACTGTGGGCCTCCATTGTGTGTTATATTTAGCGAAGGGGTAATCAGTTTTTGCTGAATATCATTTACCATGTAGGGCCTACATTAGTGTATACTATTTTCCGTGTATGGCCTACATTAGGGTATACTATTTTCCATGTAGGGCCTACATTAGGGTATACTATTTTCCGTGTAGGGCCTACATTAGGGTATACTATTTTCCATGTAGGGCCTACATTATGGTATACTATTTACCATGTAGGGCTTACATTAGGGTATACTATTTTCCATGTAGGGCCTACATTAGGGTACACTAATTACCATGTAGGGCCTACATTAGGGTATACTATTTTCCATGTAGGGCCTACATTAGGGTATACTATTTTCCATGTAGGGCCTACATTAGGGTATACTATTTTCCATGTAGGGCCTACATTAGGGTATACTATTTACCATGTAGGGACTGCAATAGGGTATACTATTTTCCATGTAGGGCCTACATTAGGGTACACTAATTACCATGTAGGGCCTACATTAGGGTATACTATTTTCCATGTAGGGCCTACATTAGGGTATACTATTTTCCATGTAGGGCCTACATTAGGGTATACTATTTACCATGTAGGGCCTACATTAGGGTATACTATTTACCATGTAGGGCCTACATTAAGGTATACTATTTTCCATGTAGGGCCTACATTAGGGTATATTTGCTGGGAAACCCCCAAAAAACTCAGCACAGTGGACATATTTTCAATACAGCGGAACTTATAATGCATGTATGTTGAAATTAGCAAAAGATAATTATGATTGAAACGAGGTTGCAAGGCATTTTTTTTTGCGTTGAGCTTCAATAAAAGGAAACATCGTGTGGAAACCTTGGCAACCATGAGGCGTTTATTCGGCCGGTCTCTGATTTCATAGCGGCTTGGCGATAAATCACTGGAAACGTGAGCTGACAATAGACACGAGAGTTAGCTTAGTGAATTCAATCAATCAAAACAGGTGTAGTGTGGTCTTTGATGTCAGCACGGTAAAGCAACATAACCTCGATTATTAACGGTGCCTGTGATCACTTCATTTTGTTGTCGAAAGCGGTTTCTTGCAAGGGAAATTACGAATTTCGAATTATTTTTTTCGGCCTTTGCGAAGCAATGTTTTTCTCCGTTTCCGTTATACGTGCTGGGCCTGTGACTCTGTGTAATATAGAATGTAAGTGTGTCACTTTTGGTATACACAAAACACGAATTACCAATTTATTTTTCTTATTCAGGCACTGAGTTCCCTAAGCTCCATTGACCAAAGATTTGAACTTTGGGACGATGTGTGCGAGTATTCCCATTGCTTGCAATTTGTTTCCCACAAACCCTTGACATGGAAGTTGTTTTAGGTATTTCGGCGACCAAGTTTGTTTTTATCAAATTATGGTATTTTGTTTGCCGGACAGGTGTTTGATTCAGCCAACAAGTACCAGTTCCTGCACACATTGGCCCTGCTTGCAGTTCCGCTCACTAAGCGCCCCATGTTGGTGAGTAACACTATGACAGAAGCAGTGCGGAGCGACACCAAACGTTTACCACAGAGAGGCCATTTTTGTTTTGCAGCGCAGATGGGAAACATTCGACGCAATTATCTGCGCCAACACCTTTTTGCCCCTAGTCGGAAACGTTTACTTTTATTGAATAACAATGAATTCATTTTCGCGACTTCTCTAAAAAAGTGTGTGTTTATGAGGTACTGCACCTAGGTCCTACTGGAAGGACGGACGATGTAATTGCAGGATAATTCTTTGTTGACCTTTCAGTTCGCCCCCCCCCCCCCCAGTATCCCCTAGCAAACGCTTAGTGAATTGCTCTCAAATTCAAATATTTCAGACTCATTTTTTTATTACCCCCTTCATTTTATTCAGCCCTATTTCCCTTGCAGTCTTTTCATCAAGTTTTAACATATTTTAGAGTTGTGTTCACAAAATAAGCCTTTTACATGAGCGTGTATCAAAAAGAGGAAACCCTTATATAAATGTAAATTATACAAATAATCCAAAAAACTATTTTCAAATAAGTTAAAGATCATGTAAAACGCCAATGTGTCCTCTTTGCAATGATACCTTGATTGTGTGTTTGTGGCGACGGATGACTGAGCATTCGTTGTTATTGAACCTGCACTGGGCCAAGTTTGTGTAAAAGGGTTACTGGTATTCTGGGCATGTGGAACGGTTTAATTTAAAGAAAGAAGACATCCTTTTGTTTAAAACAAATTATTCAATTTAACTCAGTGATTTAACCACTCTCATTGGTGCAGTCCACCCATCAGGGCCCAATGCCTTCAACGTGGCCACCACCTCTTTCCACACCGTCATTTCAACCTTTGCATAACAAACCAGCCAGCAATCTTTATAGCCAGGTGAAACTTGGCCAATTACAGGTTTGAATTGAACCCTTGGCAGAATAACAACGGATGCTTAGTCCTCCGTTGCCACAGACACACAATCAAGATGTCATTGGAAAGAAGACACAGTGGCGTTTCACATGATCTTTAACCTATTTGAAAATATTGTTGAGATATTTTTGTATAATTCCCATTTACATCTGGATTTCCTTGTTTTTGTATTCACCCTGTGTAACTTCAGTTTAACCATTAACTGTTTACGAGTAACCATTAACGTATTTAATTAAACGGCCACGTACGAGCTTCTTTCGTCTCCCCAAAACCGCACAATTCCTCATTGCTCGGCTTCTGAAATGCCATCGTTGGGAAAACACAGTCCCTGAAATGCTTGAGACTGTTTACGCTTGTCGCAGATTCGAAAGCACATTTCATGACGTTAACGATGGGTGTTGACACGGTGTTGGTTTTCCCCGTTATACCCTACTAAACAAATTCGTCTGTGGTCAATTTACCGCGTTGGAAAAACATTTTTTTTTGTTCTTCAAATACTGCTCCAAGTTTATCATATTTAGTTAGTCCGCATTTTCTCGCCATCGATTACACACCTGTGAACGGGTACAAGCCAGCTGGACTGATTCCCTGTCATGACCTTACAATTCCTCGGCGTCTATAAATTGTACGTTTCCGCATAGTTACGGAAAAGCCTTTCTTTTTGTTCTCATTTTTTCCCTTCTTTTTGTCGCCTAAATCCCATAGACTTTGTACACATTTGGCATTAATCTTTGCCATACATCATTCAAAGTTACCACAGGCAATAGCCCCTATAGCAAAGTTGTGTCCCGAAGAGTGACGTCATGGTTCACGTGACGTCATTTTATATGTGCATATTGTAAGTCCTATATCTACAGAACTGTCAGTCCGATTGGGTTGAAACTTGGTATGTGAGTAGACCGGGATGTGTTATAGGTAAAAATTGAGGTGACGTTATCATGACGTCATCGTGTGATTTTATATGAATTTTTGGATTTTTGACCTTTAAGCCATATCTCACGAACGCAACATGCAAAATTCAAAAATCTTTTCGTATTGTGTTTGTTAGGTAATAGGTATATTGAAAAATGTGTGACGTCATCATAACGTCATCAAAAATGTGATTTTTAAAAACACATAAAGGGAAGGTCTGATCGCCATGAAACTTGGTAGATAGCTAGATAATGGTACTAGTATGCAAATTCCGAAAAGATGTCACCATAACGTCATTGTTGATTTTTATGATTTTTTCATAGGGATTTACAGTTTTATTCTGCTTCCAAAATAAAGCACTTCTTTTCACTGGATTGACTTCAACCTTAGTACAAACTAAGACCACAATGCAAAAATGAGCACTGACAAGTGTAATCAAGATGAATGTTTGAACACAAACATTATAATGTACATCACTGCACCTTGGCAAAAAAAGCATAAAGTCATACAAAAAATATGCGGAAAAGCCCTAGGTTCTGTTTTCAAACAGACATAGACCTCTAGTTTGTGCTTGTTATGTTTTAAATGTGGACACCATACCATCTGGCTAAAACTCCATTAAAGACAAACAAAAATAACCCTGTATAATTTATGTTCCAGGTATTTTAACGTCCATACGGTATACGTTTTGAGATTTGTATGCGATGCATCAACACTATATAAAATAACTAAATATCAATTTTAGTGCACGACCAAATGGAACAGTAATATGGCAGCAATATGTGCTATCACGGAAGTCCCTGGTATCGATTTGGGTTGCTCTATCGTAGTAAAATGAAACGTGTTATATTTGTGATTGAGAACATTAACACTCGGCCCTTTGGGTTGAAGTCCATGTAATATCTATGTATTTAGGGTCTCTGCTCAATTGCGAAATATCGGGGAGTGGCATTTGTGTACACAGTTGCCCTAATTGACATGTATACATTTGGCCCCATACTTCTACAATCGTGGGGAAAGGTGATATACCATGGGCAGGGACGGTATTCTGAGAGGTACCAGATGTATCAAATCGACGTATCGGTCAACATGATGATGTGACCGACAACTGGAGTATAGTAATCGTTAGAAATGGTACGCGCACGTACGGAATACGTATGCGGCTCAAAAAAATAGTTGCTTTCTAAATCACGCCGTTTTGTCGTGGTTTATTTCATCGTGCACATTATGGGCAATGCGTATCTAACATAAAAAAATGTTAAGATATAAATGTGGGTTTGGCGAAATGACTCCACACAAGTTTCCCAGCTAAATTTTCCGAGCTGCATACATATCTCGTACGCGCCACATTTCTAATGACATGTGGTTTGAGGTATGCATGCTGGGGAAAAACCCATTAACTTCGGGGAATATGGTGGATTGATTGTGTGAAGTGGTTCTCTCAAGGAGTGGCACTGAGAAGTACTGTAATGCATTAAATCAGCGGTATACACCTTTTTTGGGGAAAATAAAGTTCAGATTTAGACACATTGGGTTAAAATCTACAGGTATGGGATAATTATTGAGGGGGGGGGGGGGAGAGACCATTCCGTTGGTGTTCCGTTGGGGGATCCCCCCCCAAAAAAAAACCCAACTAACCCAATCCCCCGGGGTCGCCGCCCATGCACAATTCGATGTTTTGGTAAAAAAAAAACATCCCAGCCCCAACCCCCTCCCCCCCCCCCCAAAAAAAAAACCAACCCCACACACGATATTTTGTTTACATAGCATACATTGTATTCGAATCTTTAAATATGAAATCGTTACCAAGATATTCTTTCGTTTTTTAGGTTGGCTCCTTGATGGTCTCTGGGATGACCTTGTTCTGTGTCCCGTGTTATTACTATGCAATGACCAGCGACCCCGCCCTGGTGCCGGTGGCACCATACGGAGGCACCATACTGATTGTAGCCTGGGCTGCGATGGCCTTGTGAGTTTTCAAATGCAGATAGGCCGTCTTTCATGTCGAATGAAACATTCTAAAACTTTAGCTTTAGAAACTCACCAAGCGAAACACTATCCAAAATTTGTGAGACGAGGGGGTGTTTTTATTCTTGTGACTGCACGTTTTGGGGTAATTTGTAATTGTTAAGAAAGATCTTTAAGTGAGATTTATTGACCAAAGTTTTCTTGCGCCAGTACAAGTCATATACAGAGCTACAAGTTCAACGTATATTTAACTTCACTTGATATCCTAGTTTGAATTTTAGATTCGGGAAAATGGGAACAAAAAATACCTTTTGAGACTGTATAATTAATTATATCTATAATTGAATTTCAAATGCAGCAATATATATATTTTAATCACCAGATGCTAGGGAATATAAATTTTAGCCGACTACAATAATTTTGTCCGGAAACAAAAAGGACGGAAGTTACTGATAGAGGCACTATAGTGACGAATTTGTATTCGCTTAAGATGTTTTATTTCAGTACTTCAAAGACATAATAATATCGGGATTATCTCTTAGAGAACTCCCGCCGAGATCCGTATTCGAAGGGTTGGAAAAGCTAAAATAAATGAATAAATAACTTGAAATCGTAAAAGTATTGAAAGGCCTGGTGTTCGGTCTTAAGTAGCTCTTGAGGAAGATGCTGCCTTTATTGAAACGACATACACTCAATACTTAATACACACCCACACAATCGAGATTCCGAAGTCGGAACAAAAGGAACAAGCAGAGCACAATTTAGTCATTTTATTAATTTTAGTGTAACTCACGCGTATTATAGGTTATTTTTATACATCGCAGTATGTAAAGATTTCAAATTACTAATTACTAATTAAGTATGATTTAGTATACGGTTGCAGCCATACAAATAATTATTGTTTATTTATATCATCATATACAAGCTTGTAATAGCCGTAAAATACAAAAGGATGATTATGCTACATTTTCAATGTATGTGGCATGGTAGTTAGTAGAATTATATATGCATTCCTTACTAAAATTTCACAGTGACCTTGAATTTTGATACAGTATAATTTTTAGTCAGTTGTTAAAATATGATTGAAAGCTGTTGAAGGAAAACTGTATGCGTACATTATTAGATTTCCTGGACCTTTTTATTATTATCCGGTTATTGTTGGCGCATTGAGCGAAATTATGGAAAAATTTAATCCGTTTGTGTTTTATCCTCCAAAATTGATGCTTTTTTCAGTTTAAAAAGGTGACTTTTTAAATTTTTATTTAGTATTAATAGTGTATGCAAGAAATTGATTTTGTTTTTAACATTTAAAGTGTTATTTAAAAAACAAAAACAAATATTTGGGGTGGAGTGGGGGACAAATAGGGTACTTCAATGTGCAGACAAAATGTTATTCATTCGGTAGCTAATGTACGTGTGTATGTTTTTCATATCATTTTGACTCTAAATTTATATTTTGGTAAATAACATATATTTACGATTCAAAAGTTTTTCTGTATTCCAATTGATCGTTTATTTTCTGGCTACTGTTTCTACTTGTCAGTATCAGTACAATTTACATTGTCAATATTGCCATCCTGATAGTTATCATTTTATATATACGCGGAATTATTATTAATCCTTTAAAAGGAGAAATTGTCCTGGTATATACTATCATCGTTATTGACCTTTTTATCACAGATCTCTCCAGTGATCTCCATTATGGAGATCAATGGATCTCTCTCATAGGACGCCATCTTTGTAGGAAAATTACAACTGCGCGCGTATTCAACGCCATCAGGTGCGTGTGCACGCAGTGTGCAAAATGACAAAATGTTCTGAACATGCGCGCGTGTTGCTAGCTGCAGTCTTTTTATTCTATATCTATGGCTGCAGTTTGCAGTTGCCACAGGGCTCGAAAGTTCTTCGAAATTAGGCGCAGCCGATTCGCGTCACGAAAATTTGACGCCCAAAATGCCGATGCACTTTGGCAAACTGTAGGAAGTGACGTCATTTGAGAGAGACTATCAAACATGTATTGTGCAAGAGTTCGACGTAAAGAAGTGTTTGTTTTTTTGTACAACATTCATAAAACAACCAAAATAAGCCATAACATTAAACATATCCCTTCATTATTTTAAATGATTAATCATTCGGCTGCTGAATTACTTCCTCATAAGGCAATGGAGGGCCTTCGGTCACTATCTGATACTCGGGATATTCCTTAGGAAAACAGTCCATGAAATTGGGTCCTTGCTTGGAGTCAAGCGTCTGTAAGATCATTGTGAGTAGGGAACTGGCAATGCAAGCTACTCCGATGATACAGATGACGCAAACGGATCCAAACAGGTAGGAGGCAAGGAGGGGTCCAACGAGAAAGGAAGCCGCCCAGCCTACGTTGAGCACGGAAAAGACTAGACCGTAGGCTTGGGGATAGCGGCTGTTGGCGATGGTAGAACACATCAGGAGGAGGGTGAAACGCGCAGCAGTGGCGCCGAGGAAATGAGCGCACAGGCTGGCACCGGCTAGAACGATGCTCGGTGAGAAGCTGACAAGAAGCAAAGGTACTCCCGCCGTACAGAGAGATGTCAAGCAGAAGATCCAGGATCGGTGCCGGAGAGTGGGTAGGATCTGAGCGCTGGCGAGGCTGGCTGTGATCGTTGCCACCCCGCAGAGCCCAAGAATGACACCTGTGGATTCCGGACCCGCCCCGAAGGCAGATTTCATCCACACGGCAAAGGATGGTTCCAAGGAAGACTGGCCAAGATTTGAAACCACGAAGCAGGTTGCAACGACCATAAGCTGGACATCGCAGATCACCCTCCATTGAACAGCTGAAGACGGGTTTTGCTTGCATTCGCTCCCTTCCTTCGATTCGTCTTTTGAATGGAAATTGTCAGTTCTGAATGTTATCAATACGCCGATGATGAGTAGCAAAGAGATGGGTAGAAACAGGAGGAACACTCGATACTTCAAATATCTGTACAGTTCTCCAATGAAAAGTCCCGCAAAGAAATTGTATGCCATTTTGAACATGGCTATGGCCATCACGTTGGCGCACTCTGGCGATGCCTCTGCATATACATCTCTAATACGAGCCATTGCTATGGTTTGTGTAAAGGCACTCACTACACCTTGAAGAACACGATTGATTGAAACAATCACAATCGATGTGCCTAGAAGTCCAAACAGAAGACATTTCAATATTCCAACCAGAAGCCCAGCCAAAATGACCACATCAAACCCAAACCGGTCGGCTGCCATACCAGCAATTGGCGATAAACCAATCTCTGCAATTCCAGTAGAAAGGAAAATGGCATCAATTGCGAAACTGGCCCTTGTTTCTTCGTCTCCACTGGTGTGTGATCGGTTTGTGGTGAGGGGGACGTCGGTAGTTGCCCAAGCCCACTCGGAAACAATCGGCACGACGGCTCCGTGCAAGCAGCTGTCCAGATACAGCGCCCCAATGCTCGAGACAATCCTCAGCCACTTCGTCCTCCTCGAAATTTCGGCCATAGTATGGAACTAAGATCAAAACTGTTCTGACGATCTCGAGACGACTTGTTCGGCTGACTTGAAGAGAAGCCAAGGCAAGTAGAACATAAAGCCTGTCACAGCGAATGGTGTAAACGTCACGATCGGTTAGGTACATCGGCGACAAACCTCCTTGTCAATTTTCCTTTACCCAAATGGTTTGTTGGATCTGGAAGGTAACAATGAAAAAAAAAAGCTGCCTGCAAACGAGGCATTATTGAGGGCGTAACCTCTCCCCGTATTTTCCCTTTTTTGACCTGATTTTTTTACACACAACTTGCAGTGAAATTCCTACAACAGCTGTATATCTTTTGCGCTGGCCGAATAAGCTCAAAGTCATTTTTAGTTTTCCTCAGTTCTGCCATATAGTGACCGTGGCATTGTAAGTTCCATTGCCCATTTAATTGTGTAAAGTTCTGCAGACTGGACAGGCCATTCCATTCTACACGCCAGTGAACCAGAAGCACACGCTTGCACCACGGATCCCACACAGAAAAATGGCTGCAAATGGTTGGATGACGTCGAGATTTACCCAGGTGTGATTGGACACTCCACCAGTGTTGTAGTACTCTTACTCGGTACTCGTACTCGAGTACTACTCGAGTACTTTTTTGGAGTACTCGTACTCGTACTCGAATGTCAAAGTACTCGTACTCGTACTCGAATGTCAAAGTACTCGCACTCGAAATGACGGTACTCGTACTCGGGCAGCAAAGTACTCGTACTCGAATAGCAGTACTCGGGGGGGGGGGGGAAATGTTATAGCTTCACTTATACGGCCTTATTTTTATCGATACTTTCAGTTTGAAATGGTTGATTGGCTTGTTGAGAAATCGAGATTTCCTGATTTTCGAAATTTCTTCTATGCAAGTCCAGACAAACACATTTAACAGCTAGCCGTGAGTGGGTCTGTATAACGGTCTGACTGGGCCTGGGCCAATTACGCACAATGATTTGCCGTATGGCCGTATTCGGAAATGCCAGTACTCGTACTCGTACTCGGAAGTACAAGTACTCGTACTCGTACTCGGAAGTACAAGTACTCGTACTCGTACTCGGAAGTACAAGTACTCGTACTCGGAGACCCGTTCTTGTACTCGGAGGTACAAGTACTCGTACTCGTACTCGGCAACCTAAGTATTCGGCAGTACTCGGTACTCGGAAAAAGTACTCGACTACAACTACACTGCACTCCACATATTAGCCCCGCCTACGCTTGTCTGTATTCGCATATGAGATCGTGCGCTGGAAATCTAGAGAAAAAAATCCCGCAACGTGTAGGTATGTGTTAGTACTGTCTCGCCAGTACAGCTCGCAAACTATATGCAAGTTTCCATTTCTACACTGCATAGGGTTGTAAATACTGAACAGCAATGCCTCTTTCTTTATTGATATTTGCCAGAGACACTTTCGAATTCAGCAAAAATCGAAGCTCAATCACCTCGGAATTGCACATTATTTGGTGGCGCGGCATATTCCCATTTTGCAATAGGCTGGTTGCGCGCAACCATTACCGTTGTGATTTTGAATTCACGAGGCTGGATTCAGACCTATGCATGAACGAATGATCGAACGTGAACGAATGCGTGAACGAATGATCGCACTGCACGTTGTGAATAATAGCACCAATTACACGATAAAAATCCATTCCTAGCCAATTGCGGTATCGAATCAGGATACAGGAAGAAAGTTTCCTATCAAGGGCTTACTATTTGAAACGAGGTTGGAAATAAAGTGAGCACCGGCCGGGGGGACGAGGTTGCTACTACCTGTCCCATATTTGAAGTCCAAATGACAATGGGACAGGGAAAACCAGACCAGTCCCGCCCAATAATGCTTTGACCAATCACAGCCTAGGATAATGTCCGACATGCGTGCACAAAAGTCTGACATGCGGGCACGCGCGTATGATGCGCACGGCTGGAATATGCAGTGTGGCATTGAAGGGCCGGTGTAGCATGAATTTAGGTCTAATGAAATACGGGCTCATTGGTGGTATTTCGCATGCTCATGCATAGATAATTAGGAGAGGGACCGGTCACGTGAGAGGGCTTAACCAATAAAAGGGAAAAAGAGTCTGATTTTCATAATGGCGCGCGCGCCCTTTGTTGCCCTACGCGCACAGTGGGCAGGGCTTACTGATTCGGTTTATTTACGTAAGGCATCATCCTATAGTGGACCATCGTATCATTCACTGCCCCTCGTCGACACTCAGCCGAGCGTTTTTGTAAGCGAAGACAGCCCAACGGACGGGGCTGAGCGCGGCAGCGGATCATTCATGTCACTCTCAAAGTGCGTTAAAAGTGTTTGCTCGGAAGCGCTCCGCCAGCATGGTTTACGCAAGAGAGTTGACTCTTTGGTAATCGATGTACAGTACACTTCCTTGATTGCTGGAGCATTTAGTCCACATACCAATTCAAGTGTTTGGGTAATGGCCGAGAAAGGTTGCCGTTTGCTCAGTAACCTTTTATCAAAATCCTTGTTTAATTCTCCGGGATGCAATCCTGGTGTGCTTCGTCGATCCGCAGTGGATCATTTTCCAGCTTTTAGATTATCTAACTGTAGGGTCAAGGTAATAAGACAGTTGGATTTACGGTATCACCATTATGTGACAAATCTCTTTTGTGAGTTTGTAAGGTTTTGAAAAGAACCGAGGAAGACCTCAACGTTTCGGACAGTATGCTCTGCCCGTCGTCAGGAGACTGAAGGGATTCCAACTATGAAGGGAGGACATGTAGTGTGACTGAAAACAGTGAAGCGCATGAAGAATGCAACAGTGGAGTCCTGAGCAGGGGATAAAAGTACATGTGCGCCAACGCAAATTCTCAACACTCTGTAGATTGAAACAATGTAGTTACCAACCAACTGAACTTGTCGGGCGCCTGTCTATACACTTGAAACAATGTTTTGTCTGTAGACCCAGTTTCCTTGTTTTTCCCTGTACAAAATTGAACTATTTTTACGAGCTTATACAGATCTGTGGATAACATCATCAAAATGTGCATCACAAACAAAGCCAAAGTCCCGTCCAAATTAGAGAAATAAGGCTTCATCTTAGCAACGTTGATTGGTAAAATTTGAAATTAACCTCATCCACGTCTCTCCACGTAAACACGGTTCCCTATTACATGTAATCGTATTTCTCGATTGAGTATCCCAAGCACGATCTTATTCACCCGGGAATTGACAAACATACTAGTGACACATTGCCGACGTAACCTTTAAGGAAAAAAAGGCAGGTGGATATAAGATCGCCAATGTCTTTCTCGAATACGTCATTAGGGTCGAGAGAAAACAGCACATGGATGGCAATTATCGTCTTCTATTTCGCCCCATGATCGAATCTCTTCTTCATCCGCGGACAAGGAGGATTTCTAATCACACAGAGAAAGTGTTACTCGGCAACGCATCTTAGATGGGGCCGCGTCAAGCACGTAGCGGGAGAAAGAGTTCAATTTCCAAGCCATCGTACCCCGGTCCGACGGAAACTGCACGTTCTGTGTGCTCTTCTCTCTTGTGAGATATTTATCAGCGCCCAAACACTCAATAATGCCCAATCATTCTTGACAGCTCCATCTGATTATATTTGGTTCCTTTTTCCCCTTTCTCCCCCTCTCAATTGTTCGGAGAAGACGGATTGGCATGGATATAGTGACGGCTGTTTTCTGAAGAAGAGCTTTATAAACAAACACATTTCAAAGATGAACGAAATTTTACAAACCAATCTAAAAAAATTAACTTTCAATACAAAATGTGATTCTGCAAATTGTTGATACCACGTGAACAAAATTAATGATTAATTTCCCATACCTAAAGTAAAAAAATGCACAACTCATTGTTTTCATGTTTTCAATCAAATTTGATGGACTTTATGTTGCTGACAGTTTTTACAGTTACTTTTGCATAACATTGTTCAGGTAGCTGTTTTGATTTTTTGTTTGCAGCGCATATAAGGCCAAGTAAAAGAAATGGATTCTCGTCCGGTTTTTTTTTTTTTTTTAGAGGGAGGAAGGGTCCCTTTTGTTTTCTTTTTCAAGATGGCGGATTTTCCTAGTCGGGCTCCCTGACCCAACAATTCCCCGACGCTCTGACGTCTAAATTGTAGGTCAGGTAACCGTAAGATTCATCAGAAATAGTCAGAATCTTTTGGTCTGGGAGCCAGACTAGGATTTTCCAAGATGGACTCTTCCATTTTCTTGACTCTTTAAAGTTAGCGGATACTGTTGTGTCCAAATGAGCTGTAACAGATTCCAAACTTGCGTACATTGCTACAATTTTGCTGGAAAACAAAAAATAAATATATAAGTAAATAAATTGGAAATGATTGATTAAAAACCAATGATTGAAAAAAAAGAGGCAGCCGGGAAAAATAGGAAGCGGACTTGGCCAAACCAATGTAAATATTTAACTTGCCGAAAAAAAGCTTCCTAACTAGATTCGGCACGAAACAGCCGTACACTGACTAAAGTTCAAGTTCGCCTCTTGGATGTCTTCTCATAATAACCGTACGCTTACAAAAACGCGCACATAGGACATTTAGCGTCAGGCATGCGAATCGCCGAGCTGCTTCGGCAAAATCTCCATCATGTCGCATCACACGGAGATGGCTGGAATTGTTGGAAATTCTACCGGTGGGTTTGAAGATGGCGGGCACGAGGGACCGGGAGACAATCAAGACGACGTTACCAACTATGTGGTCAAATATGTCATGCTAGCTTTCTCCGCGTTCGTGGCTGTGTTCGGCAACGGTGCGACTATAGTGGCGTTTCTCTACGACCGTGGACTGCGGGAGAAGCCCAGCAACATGCTGATCCTCGCTCTATCCTGCTCGGACCTGTGCGTGGGTCTCATCATCACATCGGGCACGCTGGGGACTTTCCTCAGCTCAAACTGGTCTCTGGGAGAGATAGGCTGTCGTATTTTTGTCAGCATTGGCAATCTGATTGTGCCGTTGGGGCCGCTCCTGGTTGCCGCTATCTGCTTTGACCGTTACCTACTTGTTTCCCGGGATTACCCGCGGTACTTGGCCATCCAGACACGCCGCTCAGTCAACCTAACGATCGCCCTGTGCTGGTTGCTGACTGCAGTCCTATGCGTGACGGAGAACATACTCTGGAACCTTAGTCCAGCAGACCCAGACATCGACTACACCATGTATTGCCTGTCTCCCAACACCAACAACCTACAGTACAACCAGTTCAGTAACATCGTCTACGTCCTGATACCATTCACCTTCGTGACGGGGTGCAGCGTGCGATTCCTGGTGCTTCTGAGGAAGAAACTAAGGGGTCACCGACGGGTTGGCCCACGTACCATCAGTGCTCGGGTACGGTGGACCTTGGCCACGCGGCAACACCCTTCCACCGAGTTTCTCTCCCAGATGTCTGTCGGTAAGATCAACGAGCCCTCCACTTTAATCGCTCGCAGGGACGACACGAGCTCGGAAACTCGACTGAGTCCTCCTTTCCACGCCTTTGACTCGCCAGATGTGGACACCCGGTCCCAGCTACTCAGAAGCCGGTATATCCGGCCTACTATCACCGTCATCTGCCTGGTAGCGGCACTAGCCGTATGCTATCTCCCTTATTGCATCTACTTCTTATTTATCGTGTCTTTCTGTCCAACCTGCAGTAGCCCAACCCTTTTTTCCACATTCCACCTGCTGCGGCTCTTCAACTCCTGTCTGGACCCGATACTGTATGCCGCCACGCAGCGTCGCATCAGGGCCTTCTATGGGAAACATCTAAGGCGAATTGGGAGACTTACCCGCTCCGCTATCAGGCAGCGATTTCAAACATGAGCGTGCACCCGATGATTACCATTCCGGACGTAATAGCAAATCAAGATTGAGCTAACTCTGTCGGTACTCAATCCACACTCAGTATATTACTGACTTAACGATTGTTAACACATTCAGCACTCAGATTCTTTTATTTTATTTATACAATGGCAATATATAGTATTTTTTTAAAGTAGAGTATAAAAAAACCATGCAGACTGTGTTTATAATTTGTATGTATTAAGGTTTATTCACGGTAACAATCTCAGATGATAACCAATAGGTGAGTGTATACGAAACAAAAGAATACAAACAAAGGCAGATATAATAGTCGAACTATTTTTTTTCGTTGCATTTAACAAGGATTCATTGATAGAGGGTTGTTAACTTTATCGGCATCGAAAGGCAGTTGTTGAATTAAATTTAAAAAATGGCAAAAAATCTTTGAACACTGGTACAAATTTCTCCTGACAGTCTGAGCATACGACTGGAAATGTTCAGTAAACACCTTGGTTCTCAGAAATATAATTATTCTAGAAATAACTTCACAGTGTGTACAGAGTTTGCACGTTGTTCCCTTCATCAGGCAAAAACCCAAACCTCATTTGGAACATTGGATGGTCTCAATTCACACCCTTTAAGGGAAAGATACAACATTTGCAAAAATACAAAAATCGAGAAAACTTGCTTTTTTTTAAAAACGGCTCCTAAATTTTCCTAATTAGTTTTTTCCGCATTTTCTTTGCAATTGATTACACACCTGTGTAGGGGTACAAGCCTTCTAGATTGATTCTCTGACATTACAATTCCCCAAAGTCTATAAATTGTTCCGATTCATCTTAAGTGGGGTCAGGGAAACAGATTACAAGAACATGATTGGTTTTCTTGGTTTTCCAAGCATCTACAAGCCCAAAACGTGAAACAAGTCAATTTAACAATATTTGCTATAACATACTGATCCTCCAAATTCATTTATTTCTGAAAATTTCAGCAAAAGCAAATGTTGTACATTCCCTTAAAATCAGGGATGATAATCTAACTAAAAGTAAAAAAACAAAAAAAAACACAAAACAATATACTTGAGAAGAAGACTAGTGTACTCCACAAGAAAACTACAAGTGCTTGTGGTACCTATTGAGTACAATAAAACTGACTTAAATGTCGACATTATAAAAAAAATATCGCTGTCAAGAGGACGCCGACAAGGCCTACCAAACTTCACATTTCTCAGCCGGGTTCATGGGAGTGTCCGCCGCACACCGGAAGGCCTCGCTGAAACCTGGCAGGTTGGACACCATCCCGATGACCCTAAAACAGAGAAAAATATACCATCAAAGCCTCATTCACCAGACGGCCGTTTCAGATTGGGTTCCCTAAATCCGTTTTATTTATCGTAAGCTATGCCAGTCTATTATTTGTTTTAATGACTTACCATATTAATATTAGTTTTTTTTACTTTATTTTTTTTTTAATTCGCCAAACCAAACCTCAGAACACATTACCCAAAGGGTGGCTCATCATCATATTCTAGGATTTTGGATATGCACAATTTGCTTCTCGTGAACTAGCACCAGAGCGAGTGTGACCGCTTATTAATGTCACCAAATGATCTTGTGGAACAGGCATGCAACTTTTCATCGGAACAGCTGATGTCAATTCCCATGTTTGCCATTAAAAATCGCGAAACACTGTACAAAGTGTCTTAGGAAGCCTTGGCATTTCGTCTTTTGTCACTTTTAAGCCAACCTCGTTCCCCATTGGTACGATCTTGCTGCGCCATGTTGTTTCCCATCATGCCTTGCGCGATCTTGAAGGAACGCGTACGCGACCATTGAGTTTAGGCTTCCTTTAAGTTGCATGCCTGTGTGAAGGAAATAAATGCTTCACAAAGCGTTTACAATATTGGAAGTGATGATGACCTCGTGGCAGTGATAACAAAACAACTGTTAAATGAGAGCTCAAAGCCTACAATTCGTCACCAGCTGATTGCGGTGTGAAGTCGCTACACCAGGCCTGCCCCAAGCTCCCGAAATAGTAAATTTTACTACAATTCGTCACTATTTCGGGAGTCCTTATAGCCAAATGTTCGTTATAGCGGTGTTCGTTGTAGCGGTGTTCGTTGTATATGAAACGTCGACAAAATGCCATGTACTTAACCATAGAGCTAGGACCCGGTCCTAGCTCTATGGTTCCTAGCTCTATGACTTAACCGACAAAGATGGGCGCCGAGTACCAGCGATCATCCTTACCTGTATCTCTCAGGGGCATGGGTGTCTGTTTGCAAGAAATTCAGTGCTGATTGCGGTGTGTAGTCGCTACACCAGGCCTGCCCCAAGCCGAGGAAGAACTCTTGGTTAGCCGTCAGATTCAGAGGCAACTCAAAGCCGTCCTCGTTGTCTCTGCGCCATTTCTGATAGGCCAGGAAGGCGATCTTAAGTCCGCCGTTGTCTGCGATGTTCTCATCAAGCGTCTTCGTGCCGTCCACCTGATCGTGTCATTAAGATAAATTTTCTTTTTAAATCATAGACCGTGGAAACATTCTAGCACAATGTGCGACTCAATCAAGTCTACGGATTGCTGAATTTTTTTAATTGCAAGTTCCGGTAGCCATCGCAAACTTAATGTTATGGTCAATGGTGGAATAGAAATTAAAACAATTTGTTATATTTGAGAAAACGCTGGAAATACAGTAGAAAGATTTGATTAAAAATATTTCAAATACTTTAAGCTTTATAAATCAATAAAACAATCAATCATCACACACATTTATTTCCTCTTTCAACTAAAGAATCATTGTCAGGTGTGATATAAAAAATTCCCCTTCAAGCTTAAAGTATCATAACGGACAAGTGCAATTAAGTACACTCAACTAAAAAAGAAAGTCTCCCCTTCCAATACTTTTTTTTGTCTATCTCAAAAAACTACTGAGCACCTCTCGCTCAAATAACGACTTATAAGTACAAAGGTTCAGTAGCAATCCAGCCATACTCTTTATTTGGCCAAAAACTTTGACAATGTGTACGAATTTATGCAAATTATGACAGATGATACCGAAAACAGTTGCACTTTTGTATTTACAAGTTGTGGTTCACCCTCACCTTGCACATATACAAAAGTGCAACTTTTTTGGTACCATTTGTCATAAATTGCATAATTTTGTACACATTATCACTGTTTTGGGCCAAACAAAGAGTATGGCTGGATTGCTACGGAATTTCTGTACTGATCAATCGTAATTTGAGCAAGATGTGCCCAGTAGTTTTGAGTTAGATAAAAAAAAGTATGAATGGGGGACTTTCGTTTTTGATGGAGTGTAAATCGAGTCAGAACTTCAAGACGAATGTTTTCTGTGTATTATAATGGTTTATTGGGTTGGACATCCGAAGTATGCATGCTTACATTCTGACCACCTATGAGGTATTGTGAGTATTGCCGGACTAGGCAGTCGGTTTTCTCATTGTATGCCGCCTTGCCCCAGAGCCAGCTCCTCAGACGCCCATATTTGTCGTACAGTCGCCCCTGGGTGTCGAAGCCATGGGTTAACTCGTGCGCCATGATGGTGCCTATCGCTCCGAAAACCATGGATCTGTAAAGGGGCAAGATACACAGCCGCGTTATACAGCGAAAGCAAACATTTGGGAGACGTTTGAAGATACACCATGTAAGGTAGAAGACAGGTGGTTTTGAGAAGAATTTGATTAACAAGCCAAGTTAGAAAATGAATATTTTTTTTTTTTTAAAATTATTTACTGACAGTCAAACCAAGGAGGAATTCCAAATAATCAGAACTCTCATGAATGATCAAAACCTAACAAAATTACCCCTACCCCTAACGAAATTACCCCATGGGGCGGGGTTGGGGTGGAATGATCCAATGCCCCGGTCAATGTGTGTGGTGGTTTATCCTTCATCTTCTGGGATTGTAGTCCTTGCATGCTCAGTGAAGGCTAAAGTGTCTTTACGTGGTTGAGTGAAATGGAATTTGAAACCAAGAGTATCGAGAGACTTACGTCGGCAGGTCAGTGCTGAAGAACGGCGGTTGCAGAATGCCCGAAGGAAACGCCAATTCGTTGCGAGAATGATCGTACGTTGCTGCCACTTTGCCCGGACTGAGGTCCCACCTTGGCGGAAAAATCACCCAAACAGTAGAACATCATTATAACGAACATGATTGGGTTCATAAACAAATTCGTTATAATGGTTGTTCGTTATAGTGATTGTGCATTACAATATAATTATTTGGCTATAACGAACATCCCCTTTAGATCCCGAAATAGTAAATTTTTAATGAAAAGTTGACAAAATGCCATGTACTCAACCAACAAAGAAACAGCCTTATTTGTTTCATGTTTGCCTGTACCCCAGCATGTTTAATATCGTGGTTACATCACTGTTTTAATTCAGATGACTTCACTATTTTTCTCGTGAATATAAAAATCGGTATTAGCCTAGGACCACATACGACTGAGAGCACCATTAGATATTATCGGTACAGTTTAAAGACAAGTTCTTAGAAAACATAGATAAATGGCACAAAAACTCGCAATAGCACGAGCATTTGATGACACACTTCAGAGTTTTGTTTCAATAATACTGAGCATTCGTTGGTATTCAGTACCAAAGCCTGGGCAAATAAAGTTGTCAGAAACGATGCAATAATTACTTGGTCTTGTCCACTGGAGCGTCGACAATCTTTAAGGAATTCTTGTACAAATAGGTCTTGTAGTTGACATGATTCTGGAGCGCACTGTCACTGACAACGTCAAACTGTAAAACAATCAACACAATGACACCTTACAAACGGCTGTTTCTCCATCGAACATCATGACAATATTTGTTTTGGTAGGGGCGTATCCCTCCACTTGTTGATAAAGGCATGGGTTAGTAGGATCCCTTTCCCCTTTGGGCCAAATTGCTGATCACAAAGTAAAACGGCCACACAAAATCAGTAAATGTATTGTGTAAAGCGTGATTTTACAAGAACAAGAGCACAAACAAACTAGGCCTGTGGTAACTTTGAATGATGTTTGACAAGGTTTAATGGCAAAAGTGCCAGAGAGAAAAATCGTTCACAAAGTTTAGGGGATTTTGGGTGTGGAACAAGAAGAAGAAAGAAAAAACAAATCAGAACAAAAACAAAGGCTTTTCTGCAACTGTGAGGAAAAGCCAAAAATCAAATTAATATTAAAATCCTCAATACACAGCTATAAATTGTCATCTGGAGCGCTCCTAATATGTTCCTTTTTTCGACATGTGATGACTTAAAGGACCCACGAGATGAATTTTTCTTTCGAACACATTTGTGCAATTTTCTATTTCTCTAAAATGTATGAAAACTATTTGCCATTCCTTTTTTGGTTGATTTTAATGAAAAGTGCAAGTCTTTAAACATTAAAAATTGTCCATACTTTTCCGGACAACTGAGGGCACTGTTGCTGTTATGTGTTTTTCAGGAAGACGCTGCCAAGTACTGACACAACGAATCACCAAAGAAAATAAAATTCCTAACAGCAAAATCCAAACTTCTGGCAATTTTTTGGTGCTAAATTTAATATGGCTGTAACATTGATGTTTCTGCCTGAAATGACATCACACTTTTGCTCATGAATATGGAAATTATCATGAGCATAAAAACCAAAAAGGCCTCGAAAATTGCAAAACGAGAAGCGACAAATAAGCCGAATGAGACACAATTGCATTTCAATGATTGTATTAAACAGTTTTACATCGCATGGGCCCTTTAATAAAAGAATGAGACAAGTCTCCCTTACTAACCCCTTCATATAGTGCATCCAAGAGAGCTGGATCCAGGATAAAGTCTGGGAAACCAATCTTGGTCGTCATGGCTTGGACCTTTTCTTTTGACAGGGACTTAGCCTTGCTATCCATCCAACTGACTTGTGGGAGATTTTCCACGAAAGTGTCTCTGATGTACTGCAGAATTTCCTCTGTCTGTGTTCGTGTACAACAAGCAGAGAAACCGAGAGTTAATAATTCATGTTATTCTTCTTTAAGCGCACACAACGGATGTTTTGAGTCTCGTAGATGATAGCTAGTGCGCCACTTAAGTTACCAATAAGAGGCTAGTTACGAAGGGAGTATTGACAAACACAACAAAAATCCCTCGACATCACAACCGTACTCTTTTTGCTTGGTTTAATTTTTGCTTGTCACGTGCCAATGAAATGTATTTGTGAATGTTGATGAGATGCTTATTGTACTGATGAGTCCATATGAACTTGTCCCAAATATCTGTGTGCATTTTATGTCTTACACGTAAACAATGCATAACAGGTGGATGACGTCAATAAGGCCTATATCTTTGCAGGATGAAAATCCTGGTGAGACGGCGCTTCTGGGTTCCAATAGTTCATTGTTCGTGTTTTCATTGTTCATTGATTTCCCACAGTGTCACATATTTTAATTATAGTAATCAATACAAAAGGTACTTTATCAACAAAATGGTGAAACTGTACAGAAGAAGCAGAGCTTGTCATCGAATGCCCCTTATACAATTTTAAAGTTGCTTTTAATACAGAAAAACACCAATAGACAAGGACACTACACGAACTTTACATGTTCAAAAGTCCAAGGAGGTAAACGCCACCAACCTTACGCTTTGCCTCTTCGGAGGATTTCTGCTCCACGAACAGGGCTCCTGTCACCATGCCGAAGTTGCGGTCTGTTTCTTGAATGCACTGCTCAAGCAGCGTCGGCCGCTCGGTGGCGCCCGTCAAGACCCTCACGAATTCTAACTCGGCGTCCCGGAAAGGCTTCGTTAAGTACTTGAGGAACTTCCGAGTCATGGACAGCAAGCTGTAATCCTCCAGGACCCTACAAAAGTACAGAGAGCATCCCGGAGATTTCTCATGAGTACATTTCAATAGACCTAAGACATAATGACGTGACGCTTTGTTTAGATGAGAACTTTCCTATGGGAGCCAGGTGTGAATGCCGGTGTAGCATGAATTTAGGTTTTATGAAATACGGACTCATTGGTGGTATTGCGCATGCTCATGTATAGATAATTAGGAGAGGGACCGGTCACGTGAGAGGGTTTAACCAATAAAAGGGAAAAAGAGTCCGATTTTCATATGACACCAGTCAATCGTCCCCACCTGGCTCCCATAGGGAAAAGCGCACATGTAAACAAAGCGTGACGTCATCATGTCTTAGGTCTGAGCGCCCCCTGTCGTTTTTCACCGCAGGCCCCTTCTAAAAGCCATCTCACTTTGTGCTCTTTTAGCTCTTCGAAATGACACCCAAGATCTACAAAAAAAAATGTAATCCACGAACAAATACACCCGGGGCGAGGTTAAGGCCGGTGTAGCAGAAATTTAGGGACGTTGAAATACGGACTCATTGGTAGTATATATTGCGCATGCTTTAATGAAGATAATTTGGAGAGTGACTAGTTACATGACAGTTAAAGGAGTCCTGTTTTTTTCACAGAGTCCGATTTCATATGACACCGGTTCAAGCGAATGCGAGTTGTGAAGAAAATTTGACAACTTACACTAAACTTTTCATTTTTCACAAGGGCGATGGGCTGCATGACCAATTTTAGGGATGATCATTGTTGGATGGAATTTTCCCCAAAAGTCGTTGAATTGTCCCGAAATAATTGAGAAATAATTAAATAAGCTTTAATTTGATAGGTGTCTCAAAAACCTTGGAGAGTTGTATTTTGAAGTAATTTTTGGACGTGCGCGTAAGCACCGAGGTCTATGGGAGTCCACTAGTCTAGTCTGCAACAATGCGTACCTTGCTGGAGTGTCTCTGATGAGATTGTTCAGCTTCCTGAAGTAGGCCGGGGTATAGACGACCGCTTCTCGATCGCCGCCTAAATCTCTGCCGAAAACCTCTGTTATGTACCCGAGCAGGTCGAAATCCGGCATCATGTCCGCTAACTGCTGCAAGGTCATCTTGTTGTAGATTGACTCGCTATCTTGGAGTTTGGCGGACGGGACGTAAATCTACAATTTGGGATGGTTTAAAACACTTTAGTTTGAAGTACGAGTCTGATTTAGTTGTATAGGCACTTAGCAGACAGGGACGTGTTATAGGTGAATACTGAAGTGATGTCATGATGACGTCATTACAAGTCATGTGGCGTCACATTAAAGGGACCTTTACGTCGCATTTGGTTGTAACTTTAACATGAACCTGTTCCAGGATGTGTTGATAATTCAAGTCGCATCATCATGACGTCATTATCTACCACAGAGTCATTTCAAACAGCCTAAACAGCTGGTGTTTACCCACAAACACGTTCTGTTTTATCTTTGTATTGTAGATTTTCTTGCACTGTAAAACTTTGTGTTTAACTTTTGAACACATTATAACCGAGTTTTTTGGGCAACAAAATAAACATTGTGATACGTTTAAGACCGGGAGGGACACAGTAAAGGCCTAAGCTCCATTTCGAGTTGGATTCATTGTGAATTTATCCGAGAACCAAAAAAAAAAAAAAATCAGCCGGTTGAAATTTGCAATTTAATTTGTATTACCAGCAGGTGCAATACTTTGACGTTGCGAATCTCTGGTGGATGTTCAACGGGAAGAAATGTTTAGCTATGGTCAAAGTGGTCTGTAGGCAATTGTGTGGTCACAGTTTCACTTCTCTCAAACTGATCGGACGGCGCTCATAGAAAATTCAACCATACTTGTCACGCCCCATGCAGATGGCGTAACGTGCACTGGTTGCCTTGAGAATTTCATTTCCTTGGGGGAAAAATCGAAGCATTTTGTTCCTCCTCACCTTGCTCATTTCCCCCTCGAACTCAACAATGCCGTCCATTCTCGATCTTGCTTCGGCCTCTGACTGATCCGGCTCCATGCCTGCGCTCGATTCAAGAAGCAAGGTCAGAATAGTTACGCCTTGTTCAGTGAAGGCGTCTAGCCGACTAGTCTGAGAAAAGTTCAGAAATCAAAGTATGAGAGTCATTATGTAGGAAGTAAAAAACAAAATGCGAACTCATATGTATTTTCTTGGTTACATGACTTGTGTACCGACTTTAATTGGTGCCCATTGGCCTTTTTATTCAGAGTCCAATGAGAGCTGTGTGGGTACCAGCGAAGATGGCGACTGTATATTTTTGAAAATTGCATCTACGCTTGGTTCCGCTAGTGCACTGTATTGCGAATCGCTAATTTAAAACAAAGTGGACATCTAAAATAAATCCACAGGCTACTGACGATATCAAATTGGCACTGCAACCGAGGGCTTGTGTGCTGTCTTTTCTTGAGACGAGAAGATAAAAAAGAAGGTACTGAATGTCCTAAAATGGCGTAGTCCCGAGTAACTCGGTTTCAATTCCAATTTGAAATTCGTCTCTTACGTTCGGCTATTAAACTTACATCGCCTTCATAGAAGCTAGGGTGGTACAAATTAAGGCCAAACTGCTGGAACTAGAGAGACAGATAAAAAAGAGAGAAAATACCAAGATTTATTAACCCTAACCAAGCTCGATTCAACACGATTCGGCATCCTTGAGGAGTAGGGACAATATAAGGAAAGAACTCGAAATACATTATACATGTTTATAAAAGTTTGAAATCGCCTGCCGTAAAACAGTGCAGTCAGTATTCAGACAGATGAGCCTTTTCGGGATATGATTGACACAATAGAGGGCGCTATCCACTCCAAATAGCGCCCTCCTATCGTGTCTACCATATCTCGCAAAAGCCGATTGGTTGTTTGACTGGACGTTATTATTTGTTCAAGTACAATGTATAGTCAATTACCATAATTCGCATGGGTCAGTTGGGAAAATTCAGTACTGGGGGAAGATAAAAATGTAAATTTTCTGACTTGAACCTGCAACTTGCAGCTAGAAGCAAGTTCGGGCAAGTATCACTAGTCGACTAGTGGTTGATTTTTGACGTAACTTACGCCCGCGCACTAATAGCAACTTGCGAACGTCTCTAGTCAAACGCTGGTCAAAATGTCATCGCAAAACTTCCGTCTGGATCCTGGCTCCCTGCTGTACGGTATGAATGCGCGCGGCTATTGGTAACCAGCGATGCAACCAAGCCCATAGGCTGGTTCCAAATAGTCGAATAGCGTAGTCAACCATCGTCGACTAGACAGAGTTCGGGCCAACATAGGCCAAGTTCGCGCAAGGACTATAGTTGACCAATGGTTAACTAACGTTTGCCCGAACTCTGTCTAGTCGACGATGGTTGACTACGCTAGTCGACTATTTGGAACCAGCCTACTGGGGTTGGTTGCTTTGCTGGTAACCAATAGCCGCGCGCATTCATAACGCTAGCAGAGAGCCAGGATCCAGAAGTTTTGCGATGACATTTTGACCAGCGTTTGACTAGAGACGTTCGCGTTGCTACCAGTGCGCAGGCGTAAGATACGTAACAAATCAACCACTAGTCGACTAATGGTCCTTGCCCGAACTTGGCCTAAGATAGTCCAACTATGGTTAACCATTGGTCAACAATAGTTCTTCGCGGACTTGGCTTAGCATTGTGACTCTACCGGCCTAGCATGCAGGCCACAGTGATCACGCGACATGTATGTTGCATAGCTTTACTACTAGCCTAGTAAAAAAAAAAGGCCGACTGGACTCACGTGGAATACATTCACACTGGAGTTTTTGTCGTCAGGTCCGACGTTCATTGCAAAGAGCAGCTGTATACCAAGCTGATAGATCTTGGCCAGGTAACTGACAGGTGGAGTAGGCACGGAGGAGTCGTCCAGCAAGCCCACGGAGTGTACGAGCTGAGATGGATAAACATATACGGACATAAACAATGAGAATTTGAACATTAATTAAAAAATAATCAGAAATTTGAGGCTTTTGTTTTGAAGTTACCAATTAAGTGTTGGGTACCAGTTTTGAACTAGACGCAAGCAGGCGTTTTGAGTGCATTCGACTGAGTATATTTAAATAAAGAAAAATAACAAGGTACCGAGCCCTGAACCAGATGAGTGCATGCCTTGTGTATGCCGGGAACCCTAGATGAAATCACCCTGTTTGCAATCGATTGCAATTGGAGTTTTTTTCAAGTCGGCGGGGTTAATAAATGTTGGTCGTGATCATAAACGGATTGAAATAACAGCCAAATGTCTTGGGATTACTTCCGACTCTGTTTTTTTTTCTTTCTTCTGAAAGTGAAAATAAGTTAACTCAAACATGGAGGTAGAATCCATGCAAGCAGAATTAGCTCAAACCTTACATTTGACGTGCGTCTTGAACACCGACAGTTAGGTTGAAATCTCCCCTACCCCCTGATTTTTGAAAGTACACTGGTCTGCAGCAACCCCACGGCGCGACCGGGATTAACCTGGATGTCAACCTAATCGCTTTAAAATTAAAACGGATTCGCAGGTGTTCTAATCAACCTGATGTGTTGCCCATGTGCACAGGATTCACCTTTGATATGCAATAAACCCTGTTGAATTCAAGGACAACTGTAAATTATATTAGAGAGAAAAAATCTGAACGTCCAGGTACCCAAGAACTATAAATATTATTGGAAATACTGAATTGAGGTTCAAATGGCACTGCAAATCATTCTTGGTGCAGGGCCAATACATAATTATATCTAGACAGTTCCAAAAGCGCGTACCCGCGGCTTGTCTAGACTATTCCGCTGCATTTCCCCCCATGTATCCAAGGCCTATATATATTCGGTGCCATATTACCATCACGTGGAGGTAGAGGTTATGTTTCTATCAGTTTTGTTGGTTGGTTGGCTTGTCTGTTAACAAAATAACTCAAAAAGTTATTGACTGTTTTGCAGTGAAATTCTTTTTAGGAGTGGTCCTTGGTACAGGTACAAATCTATTAGATTTTGAAAGTGATCCATGATTTTGTTTTTAAGGATTCTTACCATTAATACGAGTAATTTCTTTGGGGTGTACTGACAACATGGCAGGGAATTGTTTAGCCTTGGCGGAGTTTTTTTTTTTTTTAGCTCTCCGAGTGGTTTCTAGTTTTGCATTTTCTTTGTTAAACTGAGATGATTTTTGAATGTGTTGAAGAAAACCAGTCATGGCCCTCCGTCCAGTTTATAGGGGTTTGAACCTCGTCTATTGTACGATGTATACACTAAGTGACAAGAGATAAAGTGCAAGAATTAAGAGCTGGATTGGGTTCCATTTCGCCATATTTTGGCCAACGTGGTTCATTCCTCTTACTGAACATGCGCTAGGCCTATGCAACACGCATTTTGTGCACTGTGAACAAGAGATTGAGGAAAACAATGCTACAAACCCTTCAACGGGTCTCATTAAGCAACATACAATATGTCCCAAAAAAGTGTCCGTCTGACCAGTTTTAAAATAACTACAAAACCATAAAGTCAATTTTTTGATTTTTTGATTGTGCAGATACTCCTTATATCCTTGGCCTAAACCCCATGAGTTTCATTTAATTTCAGTCACGCATCACTGCACAATGTTCAATTGATCGCAACAACATTTTTGGACACGTGACCAAATTCCTTACGTTAATCATTATGTTATGTTAGCTGTGCTGTGAAAAAGGCTGATGTGGTTTGGGACTGTTTTGTGCGGACACTTTTTGGGGACATACTGTATAGTGTTTCCATGAATCATACGTCAAATTGTCATCGACATCTTACTTCCAAAAAATTATCAATGCCCCTCTCCACCTCGAACGTCTGATTCATGCATGTCTTGAAAAACGTCTTAGCCTTGACTAAAGCTTCACTTCGAACTCCTCTGTACTCGTTTCCATCCGCTTCAAGGAGCTGTATCGAAATGGACAAAAACAGAAATAATAACAAAGAATTAATGATAATTTCGCTCTGTAATAACAGTCGGATGTATGCAGGAAACACAGTCGTCGCACAGCATTGTGGGTCAAAGGTTCAACAAAATCTAGTATGATATAGAGCTCAAACAATTAGGGCACTCAGCCGCCCCGGCCCGCCGCCCTATCAATTTGTTCAGTTTTAGAGTGCGCTCCTTTTCAATGCACAACTGCCCAAAACATCCCCATTGGAACGATCTGTGGAATCAGCAGGGTATATTCAGTTTTTACGCCATTTCTATTACAAACGCGATACACATTTTCGTCCTTAATCGAGTATTACGAAGAATATATAATATGCTTTCGATAAATGTGAATTTTATTAGAAAAAAGTCGATTAAACTCCGCCATTATATTGATAAACTTCACAACAATTTTGATCGAGTTTGTGTGTGGAATTGCTCGGGCTTTTTTCGCTTAGTTTCTGTTATACTGACTATCTTCAACTCGCCATAATTTTCGCTAGCGTCTTCCTTTAACTTTGTTAATCACACAGTAGACTTCTCAGTAGTGATTCATAAGCTAACTGTCAATGCAATGTAAAATTCATCGTGATTGGCCATTTTTATCCCCGTCCAAAATGAGAAAAAGAATTTCCATCCAATAAAGTAAGCTCTTTGCTGCCACATACACACACTCACATTTTCGGTCGAGACTTAGCATTAACTGGGGACGTTCCAATTTACAGTGGGGTGAAAGCTTGCTGTTTGTAAATCGTGGTGGCGGTACAACTCAGTCCTTTTGCAGCTATACGCAGTATTTTCACTAATAACTCGGGTATGATTTCAAAAATAGACGTCTTGAAATTCTCAGTATGGGTGGATCGATAAAATCAAGCATGACCTTCAAATAGTGTTTGCACCACACAGCTGTTTCCTTGCTGGACTTGGCCCTGGATCAAGGCCAAAGATAGAGGAGTGTTCTTGCTGTGGTAGGGATTGATATTATAGGATGGTGATTTCAATATCAATACGAATTAAACAAACTAAAAGTTAAATCCGCTGGATTTGTCACTACTAGTACTAGGTTACTTCTCAAGACCTGAAGACTGTACCTTCTGCACAACTTTTCGGTTTTGACGCTGAGTTACTTTAAAAGGCGTGTTTCGTGACTCGCTGTCCGGCCGCATCGTGACTTCGGCGAAGTTACCGCACGCGTACTGGTAGAAATCCTGGCAGGGGTCCGCGTCCAGATCCATGACGCGCAAGACGTCGCCGGTAGTCCGGATGCATTGCGGCTCCAGGCAAAGTGGCTTCTGATTGATTAAAAAACAATTTGATACGGGACTTGACAGAGGTGGATACGTAAATCAGACGGGTTGGCTGATTTTTTTTATTAAACCAAGCTTACAACAGGACACTTAGCCACATGAAAACGGCATTTTGAAGACCACAATTTTCGCAGAAAAAATCACGAAACAAAAAGAGGGCCGGGCTTCAGTCTCCTGCTTGATTTGATAATATCCTTGTTAGCGTTCGAACGATATTGGGACGACAGAGAAGTTTCAGCCATACCAGTCGTTTCTTTTTCGGATTATGATTTTGGGAAAAAGTCTTTAAAACTCCCCCCCCCAAAAAAATGAAAATATGATCAGGAATATGTGGATATAGGTTACTTACTCCATTTGGTCCATTGCAAGTGTTGCCGTTTGCCATCCCAACCAGAATCAGAATGAAAAGGTTGCTTACGGTAAAGTACCCCATTTTTACCAAGCAGTCAGCCGCACCTTCCACCGTCACGTCCACAGTCTCGAAACGGAGTGCCGGGAGTCGGAACGTGCGTTTTGGTCCAATTTCACGAGGCTGCCCAGCTCGATAAAAAATGTTAAGCTCTAAGCATTTAGCTAGTCAAAAACAGGTAACCAGACCACGTGTTTAACGTTATGCGTCATCGCCTTTGGCTGGTTCACATCTTTTTAATGCTAAGTGAATTTGCTGAGAAATGATTTTATGCTAGTAGCTGCCCCGGACAGGGTCAAGGTACTGAGATACTGCCACGTGTTGCCTGAGCGTGTGGGCTACGGTTCGGACGTCTCGATGAGTTTACCATTCACGCTGGCGGGACCGGTACCGGGCCCGAAGGTTGCACGCAATGTGGGCGTTGATGGCCCACAAAAGTTGAACTTACGGAATGGATCGACTGGAGCAAGACGTTTAGTAAAATCTATAGGTATAGTATTTGGTTCCAGCGTTTTTATCTTTTTCCTCGATATGAAAATAGTTGTGTCTCTTTAATTAATCGAGTTAATGTCCCTTCTCCAGCCTCATCCTATGCCAATCTTCATCAAGTGAGTTAATAGGACAAGAGATTATGTACATAGGTATATAATTAGCAACACTTTTTTTTTGTTTAACTCATTTTTTTGTGAAGTTCCATGCACTTTTTATTGTCCGAATGCACCTGCTCCCAGGGGTTGGGGGGGGGGGGGGTGCTCTCTCTATGGTCAGTGATGCCGGGATGGTCAATTATTCAGACAAGTAATGAAATAGAAGTAGGCCTATGGACATTCACGGGATGATGCCGTCTGCACCTTTAATGACTGAAGTTGTCGGTCCCCATCGCCAATTTGCTGGAGCAAACCCGGCACGTATAACCTCGGGTTTTAAAGGGAATGATTTATGCAGACAAAAGGTCGTCTAGGCGACTCGTTATAATGTCACCACTTAAGAACGGCGCTTTGAAATATAGCTTTCCATATATAATTGTACGCGCTTGATTTACATGCATTTTTGTTCATTCTAACAGATATCACTATATATATGTTTATAGATATATATAGAACGAACAAACACCTGTCACAGAATGATGGATTTGGAGGAAAGTACAAGTGCGCCAATCTTACAAAGGTTAAATAAAGATACATCTCTTGAATGTTGATGATCTCCGACGGATTAAAACTATAGAAAATAATGTTGTGAAAAAGAGGCGGCGTGTGTGAGTTCTGAGATCATCACAAGTTTGTGTGTGGAGTATGCGTGAAACTGACGTTCCGTTCCCTCCCCGGCCGAACGTGACCTAATAGAAATAGTGTTTGATCTACCCATCCAAGGACGTCGACAGAGGGGGTGTGAGGGATTTGTCGCCGGGCAAATTTTCAACGATCGGCACAGAGGCCGCAATAAACAGCGCCCCCTTCGGTAGATGACGTTTAACCCTCTTGTTTTTGAATCAGAGGTTTTTGGTAAAAGAATTTCAGGATGACAAGTTCTTGCTAATTGCATTCTCAAGTTTTATTTTTGTGGTTCTTACACATGATCGTATCTGCACATTGTCGATTATTAGCAAAGGGGCTATTTTCAGTCACTTTTCATTTATGTTACACATACATCTGTTTGTTATTCCTATACACAAAGCGACCTGCGAACACCGAATGAATATAAAAACAATGAATAAATTAGTGACTAAATTACAATAAAAGACAACTATCAATCACGTGGCACTCGATCTACAAATCATTATGTTTGTACAACCTTCGTACTGACATACATTATTTGATTAACATAATGTGGTCAATACAGAAATAAGATATGATCAAAGACACATTACACAATAAATTAATACAATTATAAATAATAAATGGCCTCTCATCTCCTCTTACAGCCGTCCTTTCCACGCCATTATCGTTAAGAGTATGAATTAAATAATTATTTATCATATGACTTGAGTCCCACAAGTCATCATTGACCATTTCACGCAATTAAAATTAAACACACATTTTGTGCTCATTGGAATCTAATTGATTCTCGCAGAGAAAGTATACCCGTTGATGATCAGTTACAAAACGTTTACTTCGACTTATCACACAGATAATAATGCGTTCCTTTTCGTAAAATGATCTCGTAATATAGTAACAAAATTTCCTTGTGTAATAATAAAATAATCATAAAAAACGGCCTCCCATCTCCCCTTACAGCCGTCCTTTCCACACCATCGTCAATTACAACGAAGTTGCTGTTACTCAATTACACATTTCACTTTGTTATGTGACTTTAATAAACGATACATTTTACTCAAATCGGTCGATCAATACTAATATTTACACAGCACACGAATATTACACAGCGTGCAAATATTACACACCATCCGAATAATTATTACACAACATGCGAATATTACACACATCCGAATATTACATAAATGCAATAGAATTTTACACATTATGCGAATATTACACATGTGCCGCGAAGTCCAATTGATAACACAATACAAATATTTACACGTTACCATTTTTTGTTACAAAACCCTTTCATTTGAATATGTACCTGTCCTCATACAATTTTGCCATAATCAACGATAGTCAATATTCGACATTGAAATAAAACCTATGTAGATCAACATAAAATCAGTTATCTGTACCCATTTATTAAAAAAAAAAAAAAAAGCAAGAAAGTGAAAACGGCCCCCATTTCCCCTTACAGCCGTCCTCTCCACGTCACAACAATCGCAAATGAAATCACATCATTACTATAAATCAACAACATAATACACGAAGTCACGTGACGTTTGGTGAACCTCCGTACTAAACCATTTGATATTCAGAATATATTCCTGAATTACAGTTTATTATTTTAGTTTTATTACCTTCTGTGCTATTTCACTCGTTACTAAACTGTTCGATATTTCTTTCGACACAGAAACATTTGATATCTGGGATATATTCCTCAATAATTACCAATTTGTCTAACCACTGGAAAAAACCGTCCGTGTTTCGTTAAATACCATTAACCTTTTGGTGTAAAACAAACTCCTTTAGTCCCTAAACATCGATTATCGACGAGGCCTAGGTCTCAGGGATCAATTAACGATAACTTTACTCGTAGCGATCGATAATCCATATTTACATGTATTTTTAATAATATGCGTAACTATTTCTTTTGTAACTCAACCATTTCATTTGAACATGTACCTGTCTTCATACTGGAAAACCTTAGTTTACTTGTATCGATCGAAGAATACGACAATTAACAAGTGTTATCACTGTGCGTCCCCTTTTCTTTTCCTAGACAACCCTATCATTTCAACATGCACCTGTCTTCAATACCATATTTCAAAGTGAACGATAGTCCATTTTCCCACATTTGAAATAAAATCTGAATATTGATATTAATGCCCGTTTACCTTATATAAAAGAATAAATAATAAACGGCCTCCCATCTCCCCTTACAGCCGTCCTCTCCACACCATAATACCAATAATTACACACATTTAGAGATTACATACATGCATGCGTATTTCATATATGCATGTTAATTTGTTAAATATTGCATGTTCAAACATATGGGAATTTTACACAAACATATGGGAATTTTACACACGAAGCGGTAGCTTCGAACACTGAAACATTTGATATCAGGGATCTCTCCCTCAAAATCGACATCATCAACTACTGTAAAACCCTCGTACTATCTCACTCGTTACTCAACCATACGATATTTTCGAACGACAATAATACATTTTCATATCCGGCATATTTTCTCAAACATTTTCTATCATGACAACTGTAAAACCTTTGTACTCTCTCGATCGTCGCCCAACCATTCGATACTTTAGAACGACACTAAAATATTTGATATTCGGGATATTTCCTCACAAATGGATATCGTGAAACAACGGTAAAACCTTTATACTATCTCGCTCGTTGATCAACCATTCGATATTTTTGAACGACACTGAAGTAAAACCAATGCCGATCAACAACATATAACCATTTGATCGAAAACAACAATGAATACATAAAAACGGCCTCCCATCTCCCCTTACAGCCGTCCTAACCACACCATATACCAATAAAATTACCCACATTTAGAGATTACATACATGAATGCCTATTACATACACGCATGTTAAATATTGCATATGCAAACATATGGGAATTTTACACAAACATAGGGGAACTTTACACACGAAGCGGTAGCTTCGAACGACACTGAAACGTTTGATATCCGCGATCTATTCCTCAAAGTCGACATTGTCGAACTCCTGTTAAACCTTCGTACTATCTCGCTCGTTGCTCCACCATACGATATTTTCGAACGATAATCCAACATTTTCTTATCCGGGGTATGTTCTCAAACATATGCTATTTTTGAACGACACTGAAATAAAACCCAATGCCGATCAACAACATATAAGTTATGAAAACCATTTGATCGAAAATAACAATGAATAAATAAAAACGGCCTCCCACCTCCCCTTACAGCCGTCCTCTTCACACCATATACCAATAGAGTTATACACCGTTAGGGATTACATACATGCATGCGTATTTCATATAACGCATGTTAACCATTAAATGTACAAACATATGCGAATTGTACACACCATGTGAATATTACACGAATCAGTAGCTTCGAACGACACTGAAACATTTCATATCCGGGATCTATACCTCAAAATCGACATTGTCGATCACCTGTTAAACCTTCGTACTATCTCGCTCGTTGCTCCACCATACGATATTTTCGAACGATAATCCAACATTTTCTTATCCGGGGTATGTTCTCGAACATTTTCATAGCCTGACAATTGTAAAACCTTCGCACTATCTCGATCGTCGCCCAACCATTCGATACTTTAGAACGACACTGAAATATCTGATACGCGGGATATTTCCTCAACATTCGACATCGTCAAACAACTGTCAAGCGTTTGTACTATCTCGCTCGTTGCTCAACTATTCGATATTTTTGAACGACACTGAATTAAAAACCAATGCCGATCAACAGAATATAAGTTATCAATACCATTTCATCGAAAATAATGAATAAATAAAAACGGCCTCCCATCTCCCCTTACAGCCGTCCTAACCACACCATATACCAGTAAAATAAAACACATTTAGAGATTACATGCATGCATGCGTATTTCATACACACATGTTAAATATTGCATGTACAAACATATGGGAATTTTACGCAAACATTTGGGAATTTTACACAAACATATGGGAATTTTACACACGAAGCGGTAGCTTCGAATGACACTGAAACATTTGATATCAGGGATCTATCCCTCAACATCGACCTTATCAACTACTGTAAAACAATCGTACTATCTTA